TATTACCGTACACTAATAACTCCTTCAGGGCAGGGAGTTCAACAGGTGCGCTACCAGGTTCTTGGTGAAACCCGCTAATGAACCCTCTCAGATGTAGGGTAGTAAGGGTAGCTGATAGGGGAGCAAGGATATCGAGGAAAGCAAGTCTGGACAAAGGATTCCCGGGTCCTGGCTGCGGTTCAAGATGCAGAGTGGTTGCAGAACACTGGGGCAGTCCGACTGCAAGGGCGCTGAGGCGTACATCAGATAAGAGTGGCGCTCCTGCTTTGAAAATATCGAGGCGAGGAACAACACTAGAAGCGCTGCGGGTGTCATTGCAACAAATCCTCAATCTTCTTAGGGTCGAAGCGGGTTCTTCTGCGAACAAGGGAAACAATGCGCAGAGTTCCTGGCGCTCGTCGGTGTCGAAAGTGAGCTCGCGAATCTGGTTCATTCGGGGAACAAATTGCGCGGCAATAAAGCGCAGCAAATCCGGATCAGAAACTCTTGGGCCTATGTGAACACTGAGGGGCGCTTGATTGCACCGCTGGAGATATGCCATAGCGGCAGCCTCTTTGTGCAAAATCGGGAACCTGATAGTTGTCCACAAAGCAGGGGTTGAAAGTGCTACTTCCCGCCATCTAGATGAAACGTGGGATAGCTGCACCTCGGAAGAAAGTGGGCGCTTTACTACATTGCTCCAAGGTATAAGTAGCCGCCGGCTCTCCTCGAAGATGATTGCAAGCACGTCTGATGGAAGACGAGATACAGGAGCAGTCTTGTTCGTAATATGAGCAGCACGACTTTGAAGAGTGCGTATGGTGGTGTGGACTTGAAAGGCTTCAAACGTTAGGGCGTGCTTCCTCTCTTGCAGGGCGGTAATTCGTTTATTAAGGTCGTCCAGCTCTCTCTGGGAATCATCGTCAAGAAAAGAGACTGAGCTCATTGGACTCATGATTTCTGAGAAGCCCCATCATCCATTAGTTGCTTTACGGATACCAGCAGGCTAGAAGGCTACTGACGGATGTTTTACACAAAAACAATAAGCAGCCTGTTGCTGACTTGCAATGATTGCTGGATTCAACTTTGTATCGTGTAGTTGTCGTCAGACAGATCAGAAAATAACAGACACCAAACTGTACAGTACCTTGGCCGTTAGCGCAACGTCGCGAGAGGCGATGTCCACGATGGCAGTTGATGGCACGGGATGAGAAGAAGCGGAAGCAAAAGGGTACTTGGGTAATCAGCTTGGTTCATCTGATAATCTGTCACAAATCTGTCATGTTGAGCCGGCTCGCTTTGCCGAACTGGACAAACACGTGAAACTGAAGATGAGTCTCCCGTATAAGACGATGACAGGTCCGACAGGGTCTTTTAAGACATCCTGCTCCCATGGCCGCCAAAGAACTGAAACAATTTACTCTGGAGGAGGTTGCTGAGGTGCGTTGAAAATTTCACTTAAGGCCTTGAGACCACTTTCTGAGACCGTCGCGGAAATGTAGCATAACAAGCCGGATGATTTGGTATGTGTTGACTCGGTAGAGCATCTTAAACTGTTACTGAGACGAACAATTATCTTTTTTAGTGGGTGGTCATCGACGCAAAGGTATATAATCTGTCCCGGTTTAAGGACTTGCATCCCGGAGGGATATCTGTCTTGACGGATGGGGAAATTGGTAGGATGCCTCCCATGACAGCTATGCATGACAGTTTCAAATGAAATTTGTTCCTCAGCTGGCCAGGACGCTACGGAGGCATTCTACGGGTTGCATCGTCATGAAATTTTGGAGCGACCTCAATACCAACGCCTTCAGATTGGTACTATTCAAGGCGAACAACCTGTCGTATACAGCCGAATTGTCGGAGAAATCAGTGACGTCCCGTATGCAGAGCCTACCTGGCTGTCACAGGGGTATCACAGCCCTTACTACACCGAGGTGAGCTGTTCCAATCGTTTTCCGGAGCTCTTCCCTGAACTTTTATACAGAACCACAGGAATTTTCAACAGGCCATGCGTCGCTTTGTTGACGAGTTCATTTATGAGGATGCACAGGTGAGGCATCAGGATTTCTTTCATGACCCGTGCCTTATTCAATTTCCGTGATAGGCCCGCGAAGAGGATGGCAAACGACCCAGTCAAAGCGTAATTGATAAGATGGCGTATGTTAATCTACTTCTCGTCGTTCAGGTTCTTATTTCTGTATAGTGCAGTGAACTTGCACGCAATGCGTATGGGTCCAGGAAAACACCTTCAAGGGTTATCCTTGATGGACGGTCTCGTGAAACCTGAGGAGGTAAACACAATCATATCCTGAATTCTTCGTCTCGCCCTAACTTAGGTGCTTTCCTAGTTCAACTATTTCCACGAGCTCATTATTACTCAAGAGATTGCACGATGTGGTGCACGAGGATACGGAGATGGTAGGTGTTTCTCACATAGTCGGTGGTGCCTACTCAATATTCACAGGTTTAATGGGAGGGAAGGTAATTGGACTGCCGCCGGTTCTCAATTTTGGCTCGGAAGCATTGAAGGCTCGCGTTGTGCCTGAAGTCTTCGCCGGCAAGAAGTTCATTTGCCTCGCCATTTCGGAGGCCCAGGCTGGAAGTGACGTTATGGGTTTACAAACAACTGCTGTCAAGAGCGAGGATGGCAAGGAATGGATTGTAAATGGAACCAAGAAATGGATCACCAATGCTACGTGAGTAACCAAGGGTCATTCTGAACTACTGATAAACGTGTTTTGCATAGTTTCGCAGACTAGTGGGTATGATCACCAGTTCTCAGCAGCAAATCTAAGCGTCCTTTTCAGCTTCACCATAGGCTGCAAGACTGAGGATGGTCTCACTGTCATTCTTGTCGAGCGTGGACCTGGCGTAGAAACGCGGCAAATCAAAACAAGCTATTCGACGACGGCAGGCACGGCCTACATCACCTTCGACAACGTTCATGTCCCTGTTGAGAACACCCTCGGTGAGGAAGGCAGAGGAATTTTCGTCATTTTGAGGTATGTAACAATGGTGTATGACGTGAGACTTGAACACGCATTTGCGTCATAGCAACTTCAACCACGAACGGTGGGTCATGTGTTGTAGTTCCGCTCGTAGCCAGCGCAGTATTGTTGAAGAGTGTCTGAAGTATGTCGAGTCCATCATCTCGTATTTCTCCTTCTTACGGCGAATCTAGATGGGCGACTCAACGGAAGGCATTTGGGAAGCCCTTGATATCACAAGCTGTAATTCGCTCCAAGCTTGCCGCAATGATAGCACGGACGGAGAGTGTACAGAGTTGGCTGGAAAACATCACGTACCAGATGTGCCATATGGTAAGAACAGCTTGTCACTCTCATTATTCTGCCACGTAGTACTTACGGATGGTTTAGACATACAAGCAACAATCTCAGAAGCTCGCCGGGTAGGTGGTCGATATATTCCCTGTGTAACCGCCACTGATAATTTTGTTTCTCCTCAGTCAAATCGCCTTTTTGAAGAGCTATAGCACTCGGTGCGCACAGGACACTGCAAAAGATGCTGTTCAGATATTTGGTGGCCGTGGTATCACACGGACAGGTATGGGGAGGTTTGTCGAACATGTAAGTCGACTTTTCCAGCAACTGTCATTATCTTACTGGCGCCTTTGCAGTACCATCGCACTGTAACGTTCGATGCATTGTTGGGAGGTGGTGAGTTCCTTTTTTCCTGGATTCACATATGGATTCACTTGATCATGTTCTGCAGCGGAGGACGTCCTTGCTGATCTTGGTGTTCGACAAGCGATGAGGGCTATGCCAAAGAATGCCCGGCTTTGATAATTAGAGAGCTCCGTTGTATTGTACTTTACTTATGGATACTGTATTTTTGCTATATTTGCATACTTAACTCCGAGTCGTCGAATGGTCCTGAGCATTTTCTAGTTCACATACTAGATGGTCACGCGGGTTTGTGTCTCATGAGTTCGTGTTTTCACTCTAGCACACGTGATTCTACACAGAATCCTTATGTACATCACACATAGGCTCTCCTCAGTATAATACACTGTCGTATTTTTTTTTGTGGAAAAAAAACCAAGTGGTTTTCGTGCTAAGGCTCAGTTTATGGTGCTGGGGCCTAGTTTTACACGTAGAATGCACACTCCAGCGGTTATATCATCACGGAAAATTCTGAAATGGTATATGGGGATTGTACATGTTAAAATAAATACTCTGGGACCACTTTCTTGATAGAATGGTGCAGCATAAGAAATACGAACAGACGTGACAATCCATCCAAAGTGTGATGTATGAATTGAGATTCCGCTGTGTCGAAATGCGGCACTAAACACATGCGTTATGCTGGTGTATACGCAGTTGTGTGGAGTGTGAAATGGTTCGACGGCAGGGTGTGACATAATGTGACAAAAACGCGAACTCTTGAGACAATCCCACTCTGCTACACGGAAACTCTCCGCTGGACTCAACTCTTCGCATCTCAAGAAAAAAACTAGCAGGCATTGTATTTTCGACATCAGGCTATCCAACGGTAAAAGAATTGTACATTTTGACCCAGACGTTGAGGAGCTATCGTTGCAAAAAAACGTGAACTCTGGTGACCATCTAGGATGGTGCCACGCGTACCTCCAGCTTCGCGCCACAACTCTGCTCGGCTTTGCAGTCCTAGTGTCGGCAGCTACAATTTCACGGGCCGCAGCCATTCTAGTAAAAGTCCTGCTCGCCTCACTGCCGCTTACCGCGCCTTGCCTGGTAAGTACATACTTACTCCTGCTCATTCTGACCACAACAGACACTTCTTCCATACTCCGATGAATACATTTTTTCATAAGCGTGCGGCTGCCAACGGGATACCACGGACAGTGGACACGAAAGATTCCAAGAATACAATTTTAGTTCCAATACAAAACCGCATATCGTACCTCGAAGCCTATAGCATAATACATGAGAGAAAAACGCAAAAAACAATAACAGTACCACATATTACAACAACATAGCACTGAAACGATACAGTCTAAGAAAGTATGGCGACGACGCTCATGTCATCGAACCAAAATGTGGCTCATACATCGAATAGTCTTGGGTTGCGGAAGTATTGTATGACATTTGATTCATCCACTGGAAACCTGCAGTGAAAGCTGTTAGTAAAACGGACTTGAATAGTGATAGTGTCAGTCGTACCAGGGACTAAGGTATCCTGCCACAAAGGATCAGCCATAATCTGTGCCGACTCTAAAAGGTCGGCATCCAAAATCGTCGGTAACGGGTCATGGAACATTTCAGATGATGTCACGTGGTTCTGCAGCTGGGCTTCTGAAAAGCTTCCCGCACCGGGGTACATGTATGAAGGAGAAGGAGAACCAGAGTTGGCAGAGGATGGAGATGGATAGTCAGCAGATGTAGAGCTATCTGCGACTAGACCGCCACGAGTCTTGGCAGGCGTGGTCTTCGGCTTGCGTGCTCGTTTGTGGATACCGGGGCTGGTCAAGGGTGACTTCCCTGAGGTTGGTGTCAGGTCGACTCTGACTATAGGACTAGCTAGCAGGCCGGCCAGGAAACGAGAATATAGGGAAGGCCCGTGCTTTTCATCGAGAGCTACGTCCGGCGCCCCGAGGAGATCGATTGTTTTTTGCACGAGGTCCCGAATTTCGACCCGGCGCTCATACGTAAAGTACTGCGCATACTTAGGTTGTAAAAGCTGTGCGGAAAAATGTCACGTACTGAGAAGTGAGCATAACAAGTAACGTACTTTAACAAGGAAGGCGCCAGCAAAACTAATAAATACATATTGTGCATCGGGTGCGTGGCGTAAAAGAACTCCTGTCAGCCAGTGAGATGAGATGATGGACTCTATGAAATACACGACTTACTCTCTTCTTCGGTAGTGTACAATCGGTGAACGAAAGCATTGATGACGTCGGATGCCCTCGTAAAACACTACAAGAAATGAGACTATGAAAATGAGAAGAAAATGAGTAGATACTGACTCTCATTAAAAATGAATTTTCATCCAAGCAGTCTTCTTTGGCATGCTGCAAGCCAGAAGAAAGGGCGACCAAACGGGCATAGCTGAAGGCCATTTTCAAAAGACCAGTGCGGAAAATAAACATGGCGCTTTTCGGTTCAATCCCATCTAGCTCATGGAACCAATGTGCGCCGACGCGAGCCAATTCGTCGTCGGTTTCACTAGCAATCTGAGTGAAATTGGAAGACTTCGGGTCTGTCAGTTTTGGCGCAAGGGATCGTGGGAATAAATGAATACGTACCTTGTTAAGTCCGGTAGGGTGGTGTGGGTCACTGCGAATCTTCTCCATGAATTTTGCGAAAATATTGAGCTCCATGGAGTAGATACAGAGGTGAATGTCGAAGTCCTCAACATTATACTTGGAGGAGCACCACCAATCGTGCAAATGGTTTGCAATATAGTCAGAATTAGGAATAATGGGTGCTTTGCCGTACTGAGCACCTGTCGACCGGTCCAAGTTGAAGCAGTTGATCCAGACACGCGTGCGATTAAGAAGCACACGAGCGTGGTGCTCATTCAGGGGCGTTGTGGTTGTAGGCCTATTCAAGTTGAGGTCCTGGGCCAGTCTAGAACAACGTAAGGAGATGCCGTGAGATATAGCAGAGAGATCTTTACCGGATTGCAACACCAAGGTACACCCAGCTGCGATCCTCTTCCCAGCGTCGTGAGGGAACAGGGTAAAGCTGTAGTAGTAAGTAAGCAAGACACATTTCCTCATTCTTGGGACCGGTGATAAGCGCAGTGCCCGCCGCGAGCTGTGCGTAACGCATCAATTCCGCGTACAAGCCTGGACGCTGGGTGTAGAACCGAGAAGCGACAGCACACACTGAGCACAAATGTCAACACAAGAAGAAGAGAGCGAAAGTCAGATCGGCTCACCGACTGTGAAGAGGAAAGGGCTTCTCATAACCACGTACTGTGGAGTATGAAGAACGCGGTCCATCAATGACGTTGACAGGTTCATTTTATCAAAGTATCTGAGCATTTGAATAAGGAATCGTACACATGAAAATAAAATAAAACTCACAGTTTAAACAGATTCTCAACGTCTTCTAGAGTAACAATTTCACGAGTGAGAATGTGAGGAAGATGCTGGCTACTAATCGAAGGATTCGACCGGATAGGATCGGGAGCAGGAGCTAGACGAGATAAAGACTCGGGACATGCATGTACTGAAGCAAAGCATGTACTTACATGGTCTGAAGAAGTCAACGTTCGCTACGCCAACAGCATCCTGAGGTTCTGGTTCCGCACTCTTTCCTCTAGCACGGTTGGCCATATGGGCCATTAAACCAAATGGACTATCTGCGTGGGGAAGCATGCCCAACTTTTTATCAGCAAGCTCCTTCTTTTTTGCTAGCGCAGTTGGAGAGTGCCTTTCCCTTGACTGTGAGCGACGGCTACGTCCGCCTTCCTCTGCAGTGGTGTATCCGTTATCTTCGTCATCGGTGTCGTCGTCTTCGAAATCAAAGCCGTACACTTCCTCATCGCTATCAGACTTCTCAGGATCCTTATCCACGAGCATGGAATGAGTTGTACCGCCAAGGGCAATCAAGCCACCAAAAGTGTCAATTGAGGCACGGGCTTTTGCAAGCCAATCCTGCACTTCCGGTTTGGGTGGAGCAAAATCCGCCGGGGTGTTAGGATCAAGGGTAGGAGAATGAAGATCGATGGAGGACGATGGGGACGTTGGTATCGTAGTGGTCGAAGGACTACTGACTGAGACCGGTGCAACTGGTCGGTTGGTAACATCGAGCTGAGCCATAAGCTCCTGAATTTGAGCAGCTTGTTCACGAATCTGGTTCAAAAGGTGTTCTCGTTTCCTATTGTAATGTCTTAACTTGCTCAGCTGAAAACCAAATGAGCACATACGGTGGGGTTCGTCGTGGTTTGCGTCCCGGAATGACACAGTCCTGACCGGCACCTGTGCACCTTTTGCAGGTGTCATTATCGCCCCTGAATTCGCATCGGACCTAGTGTGGTGGAGGCGTCTCGATACTTGAAATAAGGTCAAAATATACACACGTACCTTCAGGCTTTTGCACCGAGCACAAGCACCCGTTCTGTGTGATTTGTTAGTTTGGATATGGTGGAATTAACTGAGGGCGCACGGTCTCGGCCTGTTCGCGGACTCTGGCATTTCTTGTGGGTCGGGTACCACAGCTCGAGGATGGTGGCTATCGTCATCGACTCTATGGCGTTTTGATTGCTGGGACATAACTGCGTGCATACTGTCTATGATCTGCGACTGGATCTCGGATTGGCGAATAGGTGGTCGATGGGTGTAAGGGAACTGCATAGGAAACCCGGGACCTGAAGGGGTGACGGATGTTGCGGAGAGTTGGTTGTGTGTGCCCGGAACACTTGAAGCGTTCATTCCTGATTGGAATGCGGCCTGATATCCAGGACGAGTAGAATTAGCATTATAATCTGGTGGAGTGAATGTGAATGTGGTTGAAATGGGATTCAATGATTGGTTTGGGTTTGAAGTCATATTAGGTGATGTTGCAAAGGAAGGAGAGCGCTGTTGGTAGGCAGAAGCTGAATCGTATTGATTTGACGGATGTGAGTTATATTGAGACAGAGAACCGTTGAGAAGATGCTGGGCACCAGAATGCGTTTGTTGTAGAAATCTTTGGGAGGTATCTTGGGCTGCGAGGAGATACGGTACCTCATCTTCGAGCAACAGGTGCTGTTGGGTAGTGAATCGGTGGTTATGGTCCCAGGAAGAGCCGTTAGGGCTCATATCGTGAACAGAACTAGACATCGTAGACGATGAGCCTGAACGACGATAACAGATGATGGAGTGTTAAAGAGCCACGGAATGACTTGCGGTCAGCTCGACGAGCTCGACCGGACGTAATATACGGATAGAAGAGATGAGCCTGAAAAGAACACAAGGTGCTTTTAAAGGACTACTAATAAGTAGAATTCCGAGAGTACATGAGAATTGAAGACACCATTATGGGAGAGTGAACTCACGAGATTAAACGACAAGTCGGCAATAGGCGGACCGCTGTAGGGTCTTACAACGAGCTAGTCCTGAGGCCTGAATGAATGCCAGTGAAGGCAAGTGGCCGTCGACGTCGGTAACAGCTTTAAAAACGCTTGTTTATATTCAAGATCTTCAAGTTCGAATCGAGCTCGACTCTTGGAAAGCGGCAGTGCTCCGTGGCTGTGAATTTGCTTCCTTAAAATTAAAACATTCACTGCTTTTCGGTCGCTTTCGCAACCAGTTTGACTGGCGCTGCCACAGAGTACTACCACGACTAATCGAAGTCGTATAGCTTGCTTGTCAAGTAATTCTTCCCCGATCAGCCTCCGCTTTCCGGGGCAGCATTCTCCGCACCCGCCGACTCCTTCAACCCGATACTTTCAGAACATCCCGATCCTAGAACTTAAAACGAGTTCGCTTAAACTCATCTATGATGTCAGGGAGTCTGTGTCTCGTTAGCGCTGGCACCGTGCCATCGAGGTCCTTGGGCCCCGCACATGATACGGTTATTCTGCAAAGCAAACATGCATACTCATAGCATCCATTTCCCCACATGGCGCCAAGAGCCCAAGCACCACGGTTACTTTCAATGTAAAGTCCCTTTCCATGGCGCCAACACGCTTGCTCGTTTCCGTGTACACCATAAATTTAGCTCGTACATGTCTAAGACTCGTTCACACTGTACTTTCCACAATAGTTCATTAGGTATGTTCTTGGTTGAAATTGTATGCTTGTGGACTGCTATAACCGCCCATTGTCGATTGACCTCTCTCAACAACGCCACTGTCCACACCGGTCAATTATAAGACGACCCGTCAACGAACGCATGTTACCTCAAACTCAACGATGAAATTTTCACTCTCCCAAAATAACGCTGGTGGCAGTGTCGAAGCTGCCCCACCAGCTTTCGTTCGTCTAATCTTCTTGAATTCTTGCACCGTTCCGACTGACCGTCCCGAACAGAACACCCCGCGACTTCGACTCTCCGGTCGTTATCTCCATGTGCTTTGGTCGGGCTCTGCTGCTACGCATGAGGACCAGATGAATGAGACTGATACCGTTGCAGGTGACGAAACGTATGTTCCTGTCGCATGCGGTATCTTTTTACTGACGATTGTCCCCTAAACAGAAAATATACTGGTGATCGCTCCGTCGGAGTAGAAACGCTGGAAATAATCTCGGTCCCTGAAGGCTCAGGTGAGACTGTTGCGTAGATCTAAATTTGAGCACCTTCGCTGATCAGGCTCTTCGGATACACCCGTAGAAGAAACTCTGCCTGACGGCCGCTCCCCGCACGGTTCTGTTACCGATGCGGCCAAAGCTGAAGTAACGCTTCAGCGCTTGCGATCACCCGTGGCTGCAGCACTCGCAACGTTGGCCAAACACTGCCCACCGCAGCTCGGATGGAAAGCAAAGACAAAACGACAGTACAGCTCCCTGGAACAGGAAGATTCTCCTAAGATAACCAGGAAACGACGTCAGCTCATCGGTTGGGGCCGTCCGCGACAAGAGGAAGACCTGCTCTCATGGCTCACTCATGCTCTGGTACCTTCCTATGTGCAACCCTCCGATGTACCTTCCGATGTACATGCCCAAGACAACAAAATCGCTGAAGATCCATGCGACTCTGTATCGGTCAAAGGACTAAGTACCTCTCTCGCGTCCATACCAGAGGAACGATGGTCTTACTGGCTTACTCGCCCTTTGCGCACGACTCGGACATCTGATGCCTTGGCTCTGGAGGATCTACAATCTCCAACTTTCCCGCCCGATCACAGCCAAACTCCGCCGATCCCCGCAGTACGATTCTCCAGTGCATACGCATCGTGCTTTGCAAATCCACAACGTCAGCCTAGTGTTATCCGTTGGAAGTTGCCTTGAGTCCCCACTGCCCAGCATCGGCGATATAAAAATTGTAGATATCATCTTCTATGTCAAGTGCACGGACGTGATACACCACAACCAAATATTTGTTTGACAGATTCCGTTGGCGGTGACTTGCTATCAATAGACGGTATCAGCCATGTGGATGCCCTCATCCGGCATTCATCACAGAGCGCGACCACAGTTCTCAGCATTCTTTGGTGACCGAGCTACTCGTACCCCGCGGAACTAGAGCTGTGCATACCTTGTTCTATACGAAATCAACTTCTAGTGCTTCATGCAGAACGGCATTTTTGGTGAAGAACATCGATACATCGTTCAGCATTCAATACAATTGTCAATTTTCAACTCGGACCGGTATACGTCTGAACTCAATCCGCAGCCTATGTAGCACTACCGAATATTTGATACCGTCTGCAAATGCTCGGGCCGATTTCGTCGTACTGCGCTTTTGTATGGCAAGACGTATAGAACTCGGGCTGAAATGAAGGTTAAATTGTGATGAAACTTAGCTTAAAATAGTCCGTACCAGTGATGCAAGCAAGGAGCCACCAAACCATACGGCATATCTTGAGAGGAAGTCAGTTTTGGTGTGGAATATACGAAAAACCTGGATCTCACCGCTGGCGCTTGTGCGAAATTACATCTACATCCACACCAGATGACTGTTGTTTCGTTAGGAGTTGGAAAAAAACAGAAATGTTGAACGCCGACCTTGGTAGTGCTGCCACTTGAAACGACGCTAGCCTCGAGTCTGCGATCAACCAGCTGCTTTAGGTCTCTCTTGAGACGCTGGCCGAAGTGCTGGAACATGGTAGAACCTCCAGAGAGAACTATATTCTACATAATCGAAATTAAAATGCAGGGGTAAATGAAAGCCAAGAAGATTGGTCACCTTGTACAAGCCGCGGCGGACATCGATCGGAGAGGCTTTGATAACATCGTCGACAATTTCTGGGAGAGGTGTGAGGAAGTCGGAAGAGTATATCTCCGGGTTGAAGAATATCTCCGGAGCCAAGAAGCGTTCATAGCCCACATCAATAGAATATTTCTAGTGAAAACACATGGATTAAATAACCGATGAAACATGTTCTAAAATGGGCACTAACTCTGCCGGTGACGCTATGCTCACCCTCATATCTCTCAAAGTATTTGTAGGGTTCCGCGTCGTATTTCCGAAACTCTTTGACGATATCCTGGCACGCGTAACTGTAGTTTTCCTTCACTCTGCTAGCGACCCGCAGCTGATCTTCTGGTGGAACGGCAGCCATTTCACCACGTTCACGCAATAAGTTGAGCACGAATTGTGATATGTCACGACCAGCGATGGGGATGTGTTTAATGGCACTTCCAATGACGTACCCTTCCGCGCAAGGGATGACGTGCGTGACACCGTCTCCCGAGTCGATGACGGTGCCGGTGAGTGTCCTGTCTGTGGCACGGTTGGATGTCCAGGATGCGGCAAGGGCGAGCACAGCTTGTACAGCGATGTAGAGACCCTTGATATTGAAGGACTCAAAGAAGATTTCGGCCGTCTGCTCTCTGTTTTCTGGAGGGTTAAGCGGAGGCTCAGTCTACGAGACAAATGATAATCAGAATATTTGGGACGTGTAATATGAAATGATGTCATACCAAAAGGAAGTAATGATCTTCTGGTTCAGCCCGTAGATACTTGAATATCGTTTGCTCCCAGTATCGTTCCATGTGATCCCAGTTGTCGATCATGCCATGGCGAATGGGATAGTGAACCCCATAACCAGGTGTCTTCGCATTGGCAAGGGCTTCGTCTCCAATGAAGAAGTCGAGGTCTTCAACACCGCGTTTCGATGCGACATTCCCAGGTTTCGAAGGAATTGGAGGACCACCACGAGTAGGTTGAGAAGCAGGTCCACGTGTAGCAATTGCGGTGGGGAAAACGCTAGATTCATGCAAAGTGCGTCTGACAGGTGCGATCTTGTATGGAATGGCGAGACTCACTATGATGGATCGGAATTTCCTGCGAAGCTGCGATCGACGTTGAGTGAGTGCATCAGAGTTGATCGTTTCGTGCTTACCCTATCTTCGAGTATCCAGTTCCATTGTCGCAGATAATAGGCGCAAGGACTGACATCCTTAGAAACAAGTCTTTATCGTAAGTCCCTGTCAAGTCACTGTAAGTATTGAGGTTGCTGCGATTCCTATTTGTGTTTGTGTGGCAAAGCCTTTCGTTCCTAACTTGTCCAAACAACCCACTCGGGCCCTCTGAGAGTTGCAACTCCAGGCCAAAGACAGTAGTCAAGTGGATATCGTCTAAGGTCTCGTCTTTGACCGTTTGAGTAATTTTCTAAACGAAAAAGGAACTCGGTAATTTGTTGATAGGGTAAGCTCGACCAGTCAAGGTTCGGTTCGTATGTACGCATGTATAAAATGCAAGTATGGAAATATCACTGCCATAGACTCCAACGGCCATTTCATTCTGACAACCTATTTGTGACCTGCCGACTTTGTATGTAGTGTTCATAGAATACCCCATCCCTGGACCCGAGCTTCTACAGGCCTTCATATTGACTCCAACGCTCTTATCGTCCTCAACTGACCTTTGAGTTTCAGATTGTTAGGGACCCTCTGGACCCGCCTGCGAATGATATACTTGTGCCGATGGATGCACCAATTGTGTGCATGACGTCCGGAGCACAGCCGGTGGTTCTGATATTCGAAGTTCGAAAGTCTACTTTCGATGCCGCACAGCGTAGTGTAAACGACCTCTTTGGTGTTGCTCGTGTCTATGAGTGATCCTTTGAATTGCGGAAGTGCCAGAATGTAAGATGAGTCCCTGTATCAGAGCGACAAGTTTGCATGACGAAGGCAAACGAAACACGTCACCTGATAACAGTACTGAGAGCGAAAGTTTTTGAGTAATGGGCAATCACTGTAGTCACGGTAGTGCAATCTAAGCTAGTCGAAGGGATAGGTGGCAATAGCGCATGATCCCTGCAACCGGTACTACCTGATGCCGGTAGCCTCATCTTCTGCAGAAGCAGAAGTCGTAGGTTCGTCATTACGGGCAGAGTGTGCATGCCCAATTATCCACCATTAATATTCATTTCGCAGTAAGCTGCCACGGTGACTAGTGTATGAATGAAAAACCGCAGTTTATCATGTGTACGGGCCTGTTGGATTTGACTAGGTCCGGCCGAAACTGGCCACTTGAATCGGATAATCATAATAAGTTCAATCGTACCGTCATCCATCGGCCAGCAGTGAGGAGCTAGGTGGGATTAGACTCGTTGGGCCAGCTCCTGTCGTAAATCTAATCAGTAACAGTAGATGACTATGGCCACTCTATAGCCGCCACTACTACATGTCATAATCCAAATGTTGAAACACAGAATCTGACATATGACCGTTTGGATTTTGTATGATAGAGGGAGTGTCGTGAAAATTTCGGGTACTTCCTGACCAAGCACACTTATCCTCTAGAGCACCAAGTTGTGAAGTCCCCCAGAGCTCAGGCACGTCAAGAACAAGGGGAAAGAAAATTTCGGAAGAATTGCAGCAATTAATCCCCGAGAGATTTAATTTTGATAAGGTAACTTCTTGAAAATATTATTTTATTTATGTAACTGCCTTGGAAACGAACTTTACTGATTGGTATGGCAGCTCACCACGGCGCTCATCACATGAACAAGATCATAGTTGCAATTATGAGAGTTCTCAGATATTCGGGTGATTTTCTTTCTACTCTTACCATCTGTGTACTTCTGAATCTGCCTGTTATAGCTTACGCTGGCTCGGTGCGTTTGCTCTTTTCTGATTCAGGTCTTGTTTTTGTCAACCACTCACGTCCCTATTTTATAGTTGAGCAGGGAGAGTATCAACGTCGAACGACATTCGTTCAACTTGGGCTCTTCCATATTCTGCAGCTCTGTTCACATTCCTTGTTTATCACGATCCTTCTTCAAGCACTCGTTATCAACACCCTTTCAATCTACTCTGTTGTAGTGGACAAATCACCGGAATATCCTTCAGTTTCAATTGCTCTTTTGTATTGCTTGCAATGGCTCCATATCTCCTTTCAAGATCCGACTCCACCAATCCTTCAGGCGTCCTTCCTATCAGCAGAACCATTTATATAGTCGGGTTCACCCTCGCTGGATTACTTGCTGCTATTTCCATTGTGTGGCTTGCATTGAGGTTCTTCCGCCGCAAATTGCAGGCAAAACGTGCAGAAGAACGGGGTGCAGCTTTCCTCAATGTACGAGGTGTTGTTCGAGAAATGAACGAGCCCGTCAGCCAGTTCCCGTAAGAATCAAAATTTCACCCCATAAATATAGGTCTACTCACGTTGTCAACAGTGGTCAACCGACAACTATTGTCTTCCCACAAAAGGTCATTGTCCCTCGTCCTGCTCAAGTAGCAAGTCCTTCAAGACACGACCATCTTTCTTCCTCTGAACTTCCCGCAGCATCTGCTGCCCCCTTGCCACGTCCCCGCGCACTCTCTAATCTCAATCCCTCGCATCCGCGCCACAGTTGCGGTTCGTCAGTTGTTTCGGGTCATTTATCTCCTCGACTTCCTCCTGGCTTGCGTTCCTCGCATTCGCGAGAATCTTCACGATCATCAGCTTCCCACCAAGCCCGATCAGTTCGGCAATTTTTCCAACCGGTGCTTCCTGATGAACTCCCTCTTTCGCGTGTAGGAGAGCAACTCCACATTCTGCAGTCGTTTGATGACGGCTGGTGCCTCGTTGCGCAAAATAACTCTCGTCGCTCTCGTTCTTCATTGTCCATATTCAATCCCTCGCGACTCTCTGCCAGGGTGGAAAGTAGCGGAGACAATGTACAACTTGGTTTTGTCCCAGCATGGGTCTTCGTCAAGCCCACGAAGGGACTGCGTGTAGAAAGACCCATTCGCAGCTCCAGCGCAGGAGCACTCCAGGCTGGCTTGGATGCCGAAATAAGAGACTCTGTGATTTCTTGGTCCAACTTTTCTTGAATCGAAATTTTTAAAAACTCGATGGGGCATACATCGAAGTCTGTTGTTTTCCCTTTCAGCCATATTCGGCAGCTGTGCAGGGCCGTTTGAAACCATTTTGCTTGAAACCTGCGGTGCAAGCATGCTTCATCTACAATTCATTATTCACGGTACAGCTGCATTGTATACCCTCATTAGGTGTTGTGTCACATATACCAATCTTTGCGCTCCAGCAGACAACACGTCCGTAAACCTCAAGAGCTATTAGGGGGAAAAGTATGTTCGGATGATTCACAACTGCACGAACGATGTGATTCGTGCGCGCGGAGGCCCAGCTTGATCAAAATTCATACGGTGGGAGGCGCCTGATGCACTTCGGTTGGGGCTTCCTCCATTCCTCCGGAAGCGTCTCAAAGGAGGAAAACGCATCTGCGATTGCTGAACCTTCGGGTGGATACCCGACTCGGCCAGCAAGATCATCTGCTTCTGCTGGTGCATCCGTGGTGTTCCGCGGAGGTTGACGTGGACGCCCTGGCGCATTCATGGGCCAAGTAGGAAGATAGCACATTTCCTGGAAGTAAATCATACTCAGTCCGGTGGGCTAGGAAAGAAATTATTTAGATCCCACCTCTGGACCGCAGGCAGGTCGGCATTTAATCCATATACTCCAGTCTAACCAAGACATCAGCTTCTGGATGTCTTCTTTCCAATCATTCATTATTTGAGCGACATTAGGCTCCCTATTAAGTTTTATAGGAAAAAGGATGTCGAGTCCGCTCATGACACCAACAGCCCACATGTTCGTAGTGACACGACAGATTTCTCTCGTTGTGTCCTCGATGGCTTTGCGCAACAGACGCTCCGAAGGCGTCATTAAGGGTATTTGGTTTATCATCACGGTAGTGTGTGTTGTGGCACACAGCCTGAAAATTGGGAATGCCCACTGTGACGGATGTAGGCCTGGAGTATCTGTGCTGGGGACGGTAGCATCTAATAGATATGGTGTAAGCATAATGCGGAGCTGGGTCTGCACGAGCTCTGCTCGCTGAAGGATTTCTTGCGAATCTGATGAGGTAAAATTGAGGAGGTGTTGCGTCAACTCGAGCCGATTCGCATATCGATCAACGATGACGTGGGTAAGGGTCTTCCAGTCGATACCGCTGCTCGAGCTGATTGACTGATGACTTCAGTGAGCTTTCTCTTCACCTGCGATATGTCCTCCGACGAGATTCCCAGCACGCGGTGGTCCCACCGTTCAAGACCCGCGTGAACTGAAACAAGGGAAGGTGCCAGTGAAATATCATACAGTGAGACGAGACCAGTCAGGTCGAGCACAATGCGAGAATCCCCTGGGTAGTGATTGTGCCATGAGCCAGAGTGCATGACTTCAAATGTGCGAATCACTGCGTTCAGGAATAAATGACGTCAGTCATGTTGGAACACGGGAACAAAATACTGACAGGCATCAGGGTCGAGTGGGGGAGGGTCAGGACTGCGGTAAGGGTTCGGTTTTTTGTCTTTCGTTAAGACTCGGATGTGCAGGAAAGACACTACTTCGACACCGGCCGTAAAATCACACAACATAATTTCACTAGAAGGTCGTCAGTCGGAAGTGCGGCACACAATTTGATAGGATGCGCACAAGTCCATTTCCATCCTAGAAATCTGAGAATCAGTGATATACCATAGCGAGATGAGTCGCCAACCTCACGAAACCGTCGACTCCGAATTCTTTTCCCCATCTACAGAGATCTTTAATCCGTGATTTTTCATCGAGGACGCGCTCGGGTTGTACTTCTCCCCAGGCTATTATATCCTGTGTATCCATTGTACCCTCGGATACCTTAGCAGCACTACTTCCATCAAAGTACAAGACTTTGAGAGGTCGCGTTGCTGCCATTGTGAGGTGCCAGCCAGTTCCATATCCACGAGCGAAAACAATGGAATGCTCTGGGTCTGTAGCGATCCAGTCTGGCTCACTGGGTATCGTATTGCGGCTGGATCCAGTGATAAAGTAAAGTACCAGTCGGAATTAATCCCGGCACTATGTTATGTCCTATATAAAAATAATTCCAGCGTCAAGAAAAGCAGCGTCAGGTGATACGTACCATTACGATATCGAGTATTTGGCCAGTGTTGTAAGAGTGAATGGACAGTATCGAAGATCAAGTTCCCTGTTGCGTTCTCGTAAGGACCTTCATCAAACCTCCATTGCTCAATCTTGGAATCGAAGCCATGTGAAAATGGTTTGTCGCTGTTCAAGTTGGTGACATCCAAAGGTCGAACGCCAGCTTCTCCAGCAGTACTGACAGGAAATTGTTGGAGAGTTAGAGCTCCTGGCCCCAGGCTCAGAGCTATCACAAGGGACTGATAGCGCATTGTGAGAACTGTCGGAGAAATATCGATGCTATCGCATCTTTATCAGAGTCAAGGAAATCCGTGGAAACATCGGCACCAGTATCAAGGTTACCGGTATGTTGGCACGGAATTGACTGCATGATCAGGAGCTATCAGGAGGCTTAAGCTCCGACACTCATCGGATGTTCCTACGGAGAACTAGTAAACGCATAAATGCAAGAGTAAAGTGTTATTAGAAAAAAGAGATCCCCTTCGGGTGGTAGCTGTGCGCAGTGGGTGCAAGCTACATACTTACTACGTTTGAGGTGCTGAACCAGGTACACCGCAATTAGACATAAACGTGGGAAAGTTGACGTTCCGAGATGTCGGATAAACCAGCATGACAATTTCATGGCAGAGAGATAGACATGTACAGACCGTTGCAACAACACGCGTTAACATTGAACAGCAAAAAGCGCGCAGCAACATGTGGACAGAATAGCCACCGAGCCATGCCTAAATACCGGAAGTGCAATAGACAATCGTGCCCAGAGCGGATCGCGAGTGTTGCAACGTTGAAACGTTGACGGGTGAAACATGCATATGGCCTTAATTGTAAGCGCGCCCATGTGAAAATCCTCCATTAATGCTTTCTTCTTCTCTGCGCGGATCCTTATTTGCGCGTCGCTCGACAATTTTTGTCCACCCATGGTCAGCGTTCGTGTGTTCTTCGGACCCCTCGGTCTACGCACGTTCTCAGACAGATCACTCTCCGAAGGTCTGTCTTTTCTTGATCTCTTCGATTCCGAATCTCTGCTTCGGCTTTTCTCGGATCACGTGATCAGCCCAGTCCTCTTGCGCTCTGGCAAGACCAGACCGAAGTTCCGAATCAACAACTCGATTCGTTTCTTAAAGCTTCTCTAGTCTTTTCGTGTCGACTACCTCTCCTCAACATCAATATTAGTTCGTGAGACAAAACACTAATATTCAACATCTCTCATCTTCACCTTAATTATACAAAGGTCCGGCCCTCAATAATATCAAATATATTATGAAGCCATCTATTAATATCTCAAATTCGCCTGCCAAAGGAATGATCTTCATTCAACGCTAGCGACCCTGTGATTTCTTGATCAAATTTTGTTATACATAATCGAACTGAAAACCTTGGTTTGTTGTTTTCCCTTGTTACGCCCGCCAGATTGAGCAGGCCATTTTGAAATCATGTACAGAGCTTGCAGTGCAGGCATGCTTCACCTACAGTTCATTAACATCAATTCCTCACGGTACAGCTGCACTGTATATCCTCGCTAGATGTTGTACCGCATGCGTATACCAGTATTTGCACTCCACCAGTGGCAGTAGCACCCGTCCGTAAACCTCGAGAGGACTGGGGCTAATAGAAAAAAAGTACGTCCAGATGACTCACAACTGCAAGAACAATGTGAAGGCCCATCTTGATCAAAATCCGTACGGCGAGAGGCGCCTAATGCACTTCGGTTGAGGTTTCCTCCATTCCTCCGTTGGCGCCTCAAAGGAGAAAATCCCATCTTCGTTTTCGAGTGGAGGTTCAGTAAGATAGTCTGCTTCTGAAGTGTCCGTGATATTCTGCGGGTCCCACGGAGGACGAGGTAGATCCTTTGGCCTGGGGACGTTTTCGGGCCAAGTAGGAAGATAGCACATCTCCTGGAAGTAGATCATACTCAGTCCGGTGGGCTAGTAAAGAAGTTATTTGGATCCCACCTCTGGGCCGCAGGCAGGTCGGCATTTAATCCATATACTCCAGTCTAACCAAGACATCAGCTTCTGGATGTCTTCTTTCCAATCATTCATTATTTGGGCGATATCAGGCTCTCCATTGAGTTCAATGGGGAAAAGAGTGTCGAGCCCGCTCATGACACCCACAGCCCACATTTTCGTAGTGACACGGCAGATTTCTCTGGTTGTCTCCTTAACGGCTTTCAGCAGCAGGTGTTCAGAGGGTGTCATGAAGGGTATCTGGTTCATTATCACGGAAGTGTGTGTTGTGGCACATAGCCTGAAAATTGGGGAAGCCCACTCCAAAGCATCTACGCCTGAAGCGCCTGTGCTGGGGACGATGATGGAATCTGATAGATATGGCCTAAGCATAATACGGAGCTGGGTTTGCGTGAGCTTCGCTCGCTGAAGGACTTCTTGCGAGTCTGACGAGGTGAAATTGAGGAGATGCTCCGTCAACTCGAGTCGATCCGCATATCGATCGACGATGACGTGAATAAGGGTCATCCAGTCAATGCCGCTGTTCACTGGGTGTGGCAGACTAATAACTTCAATAAGCTTTCTCTTCACCTGCGATAAATCCTCTGACGAGATTCCAAGGACGCGGTGGTCCCATCGTTCAAGACCCGCGCGAACTGGGACGAGGGAAGGTGCTAGTGCGATATCATACAGTGAGACAAGACCAGTCAGGTCGAGTACAATGCGAGAATCCCCTGGGTAGCGATTGTGCCACGAGCCGGAGTGCATGACTTCAAATGCGCGAATCCCTGCGCCCAGGCACGTAAAATGTCAATCGTATTGGAACACGGAAAGAAAATACTGACAGTGTTCAGAATCCGGTGGAAGAAGAGGGCGAAGGGAAGAAGGCGAAGGAAGGCGGGGAGGGGAGGGAAGGCGAGGAAGGTAAAGGTTTTCGTGCTTCGGTAAAAGTCGGACATGCAGGAAAGATACTACCTCAACACCAGCTGTAAAATCGCACAACATAACTTCACTAGAAGGTCATCAGTCGGAACTGCGATACACAATCGAAAGGATGCGCACAAGTCCATTTCCATCCTAGAAATCTGATAATCAGTTATACACCATAGCGAGATGAGTCGCTAACCTCGCGAAACCATCGAGTCCAAACTCCTTTCCCCACCCACAGAGATCTTGAATCCGTCGTCTTTCATCGAAGTATCGCTCAGGCTGCACTTCTCCCCAAGCTATTATATCCTGCGTATCCATTGTACCCTCGGATATCTTAGCAGCACTACTTCCATCAAAGTACAAGACTTTGAGAGGTCGCGTTACTGCCAGCGTGAGATGCCAGCCATCTCTTCCACGAGCGAAACCAATGGAATGCTCTGGGTCTGTAGCGATCCAGTCGGGCTTAGTGGGTATTGCATGGCGACCGGTGCCGTGGTAAAGCAAAGTACCGGTTGGAATTACTCCTGGTACTATGTTATGTCCTACGAAAAAGGTAGGCGTTTTTTCAGTGTTAGCAAGCAGCGGAGACGTACCATTACGGTACCGAGTGTTTGGCCAATGTTGCAGGGATGAATGGACAGTGTCGAATATCAAGTTCCCTGTCGCGTTCTCAGGAGGGCCTTCTTCAAACCTCCATTGCTCAGTGTTTGAACTATATGGGGGTACATTCAAGTCGACAATATCCAATGGCCGAATGTAGGTTTCGTCAGCAGTGTTGGCAGGGAATTGGCCACGTAGTGCTAGAGCTGCTGACCCTAGGCTCAGAACTGCCACAAGGGAGTGAGAGCGCATTGTGAAAGGCGCTGGAGATATTGATGTTATCGCATCTTTATCAAGGCAACGTGTGGCGATACGTGCTGTGGCGGGCCGCGGCACTAGTATTTCAATACGTAGGCTATGGATTCAGATGAGTTGACTTATCAGAAGACCATAACCGAATCAGACTCGGATGCCCTGGCTAGACTCTCCTACAGAATTCTTCCCCGGTATCCAACGAGCTGGAGGGCGTGAGGTCGCCATGGCCAGTTTCCAAAAGGTCTCAGAGTCGGATTCCTTCATGATGCCAGTCTGAACGGGCACGGCAACTTCCGCGCCGTGCCTGGTATGGCTCTGCCAGCACCTTCACCTATTCATCTGCTACGTTCACATTCCACTGCAGTGAGCACTCTGTTCATTTCTACGGACAACGAGAGAATCTACTCCGGAGATAGCGCAGGGCAAGCCATCGTCACTTCCACGCGCTCATTGAGACCACTCGCATCATGGAAAGCTCACACTGACTCACTGCTGGGCATTGAAGAATGGGGCTCTCAAATCATAACGTAAGTTGCTATCTTTTTTGCCCTGGCATTTTCTTCTCATGCTGTGACTAGACATGGAAGGGATAATAAACTCCACGTCTGGGTACGGCCCGAGGAGTCCGCTTCCATCAGACAAGGACCTGCAACTTTGTCAGATCTATCAACACCAACGATATGTTACTCTATGGATGTCAACGCTCTTAACTACTGCAGGTTCTCTCTCCTTGTACTAGCGGGGCGCGCGCGCGCAGGAAGGTCTACTTGCCGTTCCGAACCTCGTGGAATCAGCTCTTGTGGGTAATCCCTCTGGTGTATGGTACGGCGTAATCTCAGTATGAACTGACCAGGCAGATATCTGGTCACTTCCATCGCGTCAAAGGCTCCACGCTGCCATAGGTGATCCACTGGACACCTCCACAACAGCCTTCTCGGATGGCAGGTCGGGCAGCAAGTCAGGAATCATCATGTCAATGCATCTTTTCTACTCTACGTCTTCCGCACCTTCATCCTCTACGTCGGCAAGAGAGCTGCGCCTGTTATGTGCATACGAAGATGGAAGTGTCGTCCTGCGAAAGCGGACTGCACCTGAGAACAAACCGACCGTCGAGGGCCGGGGATGGGAGGTCGTTTGGAAATCCAGACTTCATGTAGAATCAGGTTCGTTGAAACATGTAACATTCTTGTGGGGATTCTGACGGATTGTTGTCGTTCTAAGTGATGGCTATGACGGTTTCTGCAGACCGCACTTTGCTTTGACAGTGTCAGCGGACCATTTAGTGGGACGATATGATCTTCTGGTTGGTGTTTGGGTAGCTCTGCATGAGTTTACTTGCTGAAATCCTGAACAGAAGACCCAGGAAGAGGCCTCAGAATCCACCTCAGCAGGAACTGCATTCAAGACCAAACATCCAGGAAATGGTGCTGTTGCCATACGGAGCGACGGGAGGGTGTGTGCGATTGGGGGATGGGACGGCAAGTCAGTCGACCAGATGATCATACCATCATTGCATTGAGCTAACTTATAACGCAGAGTGCGGTTATACTCGACGAAGACATTGAAGTTGCTAGGAACCCTTGTGCACCACAAGCAAGGATGCCAGGCGGTTACGTTCGCCTCTCATACTGACTGTGTACCTCTTTGTGGAGATTTGAAGGAGGATGACTTCTCTGATGACGATGATGAAATTACCGTCGAGGAAAAGCATGCCCGTGGTCGGTGGTTGATTGCTGGCAGTACAGACGCGAAGGTGTCGATTTGGGCGTTGATAAATTTCGAGAAGGCAAGCGCCGTTTAAGCCGAACCGATGCCCATGGTAAAATGAAGATGTGGTATATATCAAATGTTAATTGTATGTTTTATGCGTCGCAAACCAGTGGTCTGAAATAAGACGTAACTGAACCAGCCTGAATCTAGTTCAAATTGTCCGCCCCAATGCAACCTCCAGCCTGTATGATTGTGGCGCCTTACTCGAGGGATGCTTAGTAGGCCAAATCTGTCTTTCTGGAATATCGAGACTTTCACCACCTCCCTCAGATTTCGCCCTTGCCAAGAAAGAATTTTTTATCAGCATTTATTGTCCGTTGGGGCGATGCCTCTGGTAGACAAAACACACAAGTTGCCGAGAAAGGTGTTTCGCAATATGGTTGAAAGGGTTCCGAATAGGACGCCTCCTACCAACTTATGAAACATACAAGTTGGATGCCAGACGATTGACAAACTAATGCGCGTTAAGGGATCTGATACCACCTCTTGGTCACTCGCCTCCGACAGTTCAGTGGCGCCATAAGTCCTTGTGAGATGGTAGCAGTCCACGAGGCGCCGTGGATCGTGGATATCGTACAATTGTTGCAGCATATGAGAAAGTGGAGGGTGTGATTGAGTCCTCGGCGATGACGTTGAAAAAGGATTCTCATACAACGCAGCCTAGGCGCTAGAACAATACATGTAGCGCATTTGACATTCAAATCATGTGGTCCAGATTCACGATTGGTTGAAAATGGTGGTAGAAGAAAACTTGTGAGGTTGATGACAAGTTCGACTTAGGGTGTGTGGTTTGCGGAGCATGCCGACCGCCAAATCCCGAGTCTCCCTAGGCGAGGCTCAGGCTGGCACTTGCACTCATAGTCTTACTTTCAGTCTCCCATCATGGTCAGACTATGGATACAGTCGTTCCTTTACGTCCACTAGGTAAGCTATTGGGTGTAGACTATGCACCTAGGTGCAAGTGCGGATGTCTCAGGTGAGTGATTATGATTCTGACTAGGGGGTGGTTTACTGGGCCACAGTCCATTCAATTCTAATCATGACGTCGCTGGTATGTCTCAGTTTAATGCCGTGCATATTGGTCGTAGTATATAATCTTGCAATCTTATTTTCGAATCGTTTTATAGCTTGACTTGCGACTCCAGATATCTTGCATATTCATTCAACTTCCGTTCATCCATGGCTTTCGAAATGCAGCAACTCTTCACTTCTGGCAGGCTCCAGAATTCCGACTTACACTCCCTTACGTTCTGCCTACGGGTCTAGTGTCTCCGCCGCTGAGGTCATGTCTTCCTTCTCCACCGTCACTCGGGACATTTCGCCCAACACCTCCCGTTTTTCTGCATACTCCAGCAACTCTTCTACCCAGAAACTTAAGCGCAGGCGTGCTAGGCGCGGACGCCCTTCCAAAGGGAAGGCGGCTATGGTTCTGCTTGAAGATGCTAGCGCTTGCGACCCCTTGACTCTGAATGCTCTTGCTAGCCTTTCCTCCAACTGGCTTGACCTGTCCTTCCCGGACCGCACTCCTACCTACACGGACTACTTCGTGAATTACTGGCGGCATGCACTAACAAAGGAGCAGGATATTGTGATGGATCATTTTACTGCTGTCATGGAGGCTATCCACGAGGATTTACCGGCTGCCTCAATCATTCGCTCAACTCAGTCCACGCCCGTGCAATGCAACGAGTCCTCCAAATGCATTCGATACGAAAATGATCTATTTGCAGTCACATGTCCCTGGGACGATGATGAGCAATCTCACCTAGACGACTGGATTGAATGGGATGAATGGCGTCGGGAAGATGATGAAGTCCATATCCCAACCGGCGATCATCATAACTATGGAGCTATTGGCCAGCCACCAATATATCCGCTGCGCAATATGGGCACCCACTTCCAGATTGTAGCACCAAAGCCTGTTCGCGCATGGAACAACATAACCTGGTTGGGTCAACCACCCGTCATTCCTGAACCAGTAACCCGCCACTATATGGAGATGTTTGTCGACGCTGCAGCCGTTTATGCAACTTCACAAACTCCTCTCATGGAGAGTACCACCATCTATTCCTCTACTTCCACGGCTTACCATGCGCACGCGGAGTCGACTGTCATCTACAATTCTGCCAGTGCATCTCCCTCATCCTACCTGTCTGTTATTGCTGCCTCTATTCCACCTGCTGGCAGGTGTATCCCTCAGCATGTCAATGATCCCCATCTTAACATTCATGGATCAAAGGTAATTCGTCCCGAAAGACAACATTCGAGAGATCATAAGCTGTTCCAGTTTTTACGTGTACGTCCCTTCTCTTATCTCGTGTTAGTGATCGAGGTACTGATTGGTGCTGTACAGATGTCTTATGATCAAAAAGTTGCTGAGGTTGAAAGATTGGTTAGATGGATGAGATCTCATTCGCGACGGGAATGACTCGAACATAGATGCATGGTATTTGTTTGTATATTAAGTATGGATTGTAATGATCAAGGACATTCACTCTCTGTTCAATTTTCGTTGTGGCGTCGTCAATACGCAACGTTGCCGAGTAGAACGAGCGCGCATTTTCGCATGCCGGGCTCACGGATACCAGAACGTCACGGACGCTTATTGCTCCGGCGAGCTTCGGCGACATCCAAATTTTAAGGAGTAAATGCAAGGAGAGAAGGCATTGCTTCCAATACGGGACACCGTCCAATAATAAAGGTGGGAGATGCATTTCCTTGAAGTTCTTTTATCCACCACGACATCGTTCTTCCCGGGTCCAATCCGTGAGTTCAGGCGTACCTTTGCATACAAGCTGGAAGAATGAACCCAAACCACTAGGTGAAAATGTGTCACTGGTAGCTGAGCGCCATACGTGTCACACCATCTGGTTTGGAATATGACCAGGATAAATAAGTTGCGGATGGCACAGGCCCCTATGCCGCCAGTACCGATGGCGCCTTGTCACCTTCCAGTATTTGGCATCCACAGGTGACAACAAATACTAAGAGATTCGATGTTAACGTTGATCTTTGCAAGCTGAACACAACCTAGGCTGCCCCTAACCTTCATAGGAAAATGCGGTCTGCAGAAGTATTGCCTTAGCACCTCTTAAACTCCATTAACAATGGAATTTAGGAGATGGTCACGGCTCAATTTATTTCTAAAAAATTAAAATTAAGATTCGTTTGTTGTCATTGTCTAATGACAGTACGTATGGTATACTCGTAGTGTGACTCGGTTTGACCCGAGTAGAGTTTACAAATCGGGAAAAGATAGTCCTGTGTTCTGGTGAGTCGGGGGGAGTGTCCTCAACACTTGGGCAGTAAATAACGAAATGTGTGATTGGGTACTGGACTTCGGTCCCAGTACTATAAACGAATAAATATATTGAGCGTTTGTTGCCTCCGGCTGTGAATTCGAACCCTGGCCCATGCAGCGATGGTGCGTGGTAGACAAATGGAGGTCATTTCGGCCAATAGTTTTGGCGGCGTAAGGTCATCTCCATCTCAGCATTCCGATTACATCAATGGTCATCAGCACCCGGTCGCCCCCATTGGACGATCCGAGTTGGTCCATTATGCCACGACTGTACTCTGCGACGAGCTAGATTGGACATCGTGGAGCCACGAGTGCCAACGAAGCCCGCTCCATTCGACTGAATGATGGCATCGATGAACACCGGATGCCTGACGACAGGAACTTTGTCTAGCATGAATGAAAAGATGACATTTAATCGGCTCACCACTTTCCATAGATCTCTGCCGTGCGCTCTGTCGCATAATCTACCCACGTCCAGCCCAACGCCCTGACCCCTGACCACCATTCCGGGTCAAGCTCATCACTCGTCATGATAACCTGTGTGACCTCGATCCCTTTTTGTGTGCGAAGTTCCTCTTGCACCTCGGATACCCTGCGTGCAATGATAGACAACGAGGCGAAGCACTGATCCAAAGGAACACTACGACATTGATCGCCAAAGTCACCGTGCCGTACGTGGATAGAGATATACTATGCAATGTTAGATCCGCAGATCAACCTATACCCGAAAATTCCACTCACGGGAGGTGTTGGTTCATTGACTGGCACATTCATGGCGCGCCGGGCATGCGCATCGGCAAGCCTTTCTACGCTTGCATTCCATCGCATGTGTTGGCCTACAAATCTCCATGCAGGGGAATAATCCGATTCCCATTCCCATGGCTGTTGGGCACCTATGAAGTAAAGGAAATCGAAGCATAGCAACTGGTCGTCCGGGGGGAGGGAAACCTGATGCTGAGGAGAAGGATGATTTGATAATCCCAGGTTGTCCGAGCGACCCTGCGGAAAGGCAAGCGTTGCAAGGGACCAAAAGGATGCGTGATCGTCTATTATGCCAGGAGGTGTCAGCTTGACCCAATCTGGGGTTCGCGTCCACGAGATATCTGTGATGTCCACGCAGTTAATCACTAGTTAGGAATATTCGGAGTTGTCTCACCGAGCTTGAGCCGGTCTATGGTGGGACTTTCCCGTGGACGGGGATCCTCCTTGTAGTTTTCAACGCTTTCCCAAACACTCCAACAACCAATATCGTCGAGAACCTGACTTTCTGGGTCCTTAACTTCGTGCCATTCAAGTACGGGAATGCCTATGGCTTGGCTAAGCCGAGGGACGTCAATTATTTCCCCAAAAGCAAATGGAGGTTCACTTGGGTCGATATGAGAAGAAAGGAATTTCGCAATTATAGGTATACGCTCTGTTATCAGTGCCAGGTAAATTAAATTGCCCTAGTATCTGTGAGGAATCGGGTCAGTGTTTGAAGTGGATCATTGACTTACATAGGTCATCACGTCATTCGCTAACAAGTAACTGAGATCAGTAGGTGCAAGTAGTAGTTGGCTGGAGTTGACGTACTCCATCCAGCTGAAGTCCACGATGTAATGTATTTTGTGTTGTTACGAAGGTTATCTGAGACCAATTTGTGAGATGCGAGGGACATTTTCGTTGATTGACTGACCTCGAAAGCGTTGGGTGGGTGGACCTTGGACATATGGCTGCGAGTTGAAGGCGGCAGAATACGAAGGCGCATCCTGTGTGTCCAGATGGCTCAAGGGCTTGAGTAGAAGAAATCCAAAGCTAAGCAAGGAGATGCCTGCCAGAGCAGCGCAGATCGTTCCGGGAGATGGCTTTTTGCGTTTAGTTGGTTGTAGTTTGATGCGGAACGTAGGGATAAATGGAGTCTCTGGGTCGTCGTATGCGTCCTGTCTGTCCATGACACGTGAGGTGGGAGCCTTGAGGGTGCTCAATCAGGATCTTTGTATGCCGACGATGATGGTATGTATTTGGCCATCTATGCTATGTGAAACTCAGGGCAGCGCCTGGTTAGCCTCCCATGATATATTCGGTTGTCGTTCGCGGTGACGCCGCCCGTTCCGTGTGCAGTCAACACCCGCCGGAAGGTACCAGAAGGCACCATGCGTACCCCTCCAGTCTCAGAATCATTTTAGGAAGCGGAAAAACATAGGAGCAAACACTAAGAACACCTCGTCCGGATTCTTCCGGTGATCCTGGAATGCCTGACATCGCCGTATCGGACTACGGTGTCTCACATACCGTGTGAATATGTTCAAAGTGCTGCTGGCAAGGGTCCAACGGTTACAGAGGGTTTTCGGAGTACAGAATAAGCACTTGCCTTACTAGACAGGGTCCGAGTCTTGATATAGAGCACTGTGGTCTGGCGTTCCATAAAAAGTCTACCGCTTTGAGATTGCAAGTTGCAGTAGTTGGAAGCGTCGCCATGAATTTTGATACTCATTCACTGGGAAAAGATGGACTCCACTGAACACTTCGATAAATCCGCCCTCACCGCGAGGATGGAGAGAATCATCGATTCAAGGCAAAAATGCATAGCCGAATAACTGGTAGCGTCTGCATCCGGTGTATTCGCAATTGAATCTACAACGATGATCTCCAGACAAGGGCAACTTCCTAAAGTGAAGCGAATAGCCTGGAAGGAAGTGTCTTTCAGCAGGTATGGCTAGGTGAGAATTGGAAATCAGTTGCCCATCGCCTGATGATGCGTAGATGACGGAGATTTGGTGCATAGAATCTCTTGACGTCTGACCCATCGTTGTACATTTTTGACAACGGGCATCTGGTTGCGCATCAGAGTTCTTCTTCCTGAGCCACGCTTTCAACCATTCTTTTCCAACCGTGCTCCAGTTTTGGCCATATCCGACAGTCGGTCTCTTACCATTCGCACCAAACGCCTTCTTGTCCATCGTAGATTTAGCTCGATACTGGGTTCTTCGGGGGCGGATCAGCCACTGCCTGAGATCATCGGCACACCCGGGTGAAGACTATGGGAAAGTTGGAATAATGGCTGAGAACGTAGGATCCTCCATATAAAAGGACAGAACAGTCTGGCACGTTGTTGACGATGAACAAGAGTATCTCCTTCAGAAGTTCCAGTGGCAGTCCACGGATGACATTGATCAAGGTTCGACACGATTTTCAAATAAGTAGCACGTATCTTTAATGGTTTGTTTGGCAAAACCGTTGGATCCAAACAACACCATCTAAGGATAATTCTGAAGACTTTTTACGTCCTCACTTGAATATCATATCTACAACGACAGGCCTAAGGCGCCACCATCATCATTATGGCTACCACATGCCCCTTCACCGGGTATCGCCAAGTGGAATCCTTCGGTCCCAACGAAGAGTATTCATCAGACGACGAAGAATTCTATGTCACGCTTGATCTTGGTACTGTTGAGCCAACTCTACTTCCAAGCAGCTCAACCTATAGGCTTGTAGTAAGCACAAGACCTCATATATTATAGGCATCGCTACAAGGCGAAAAAGGGCCTGGATACGCCTACGCCATTTCTGCAGCTTTCTGGCTCCTTCTTCAGGGGTCGGCACGATACACTCCTTGGTTCGGAGCTCTTGTTCACGGAAGGAAAAAGTATGTAAATATACTGTCCATCAAGGTCAATTGACATTTCTCTTGATCAACTAGATGATTCCGAAAGACACACGCGAGCTTTAACGCACGTCGGCGTCACTGAACGACGTATCCGGTTCAAGGAGGTGCAGCTACGGCCGAAGGCCCACAAAAAATTGGAAGAAGCTCTTGCTGTCGGTGCGAACTCTTCTCACAATGAGGCACAAGCAGAAGATGCTGGCCATTCACTTGGACGCATGATTGGGAGTGTTACAGGGCCCCCATCTCGCAAACGCAAGAAACGCCGTAATAAGGGGAAGGAGAAGGAGACGTCCCATCAAGAGGAGGGGGGAGACGATGCTATGGATACCACTTAATTATGCCGTTAGTGTGATTCGCTTCTACCATCTTATCATTCTGCATGTGTCGTGTCTGTCAACCTCCGAGCTTCGGTTAAATTGCAGCTTGAAAATTTGGTCGAAATATTCATACTTTAATTTACAATGCACTTCGGATAATTAATTAGGCAAAGCAACCGGTGATGGTATCGCAAGGGGAAGATATTATACTCTGACACTTGCATCACTCTCTCGCATCCCGAATGAAAAAGGTCAGATCCAAAAGTATACTATACAATACCACGGGGTCATCACAATAGATGTGCAGCACGCAAATTTGGTTCTGCAGGCTCCTGTTGCGTCGCGACTATAAAGGGCGAGCCGAGAGACGTGTGTTCACTCTCTTCAAGCGGTGCGATATTGAACGCCTGCTCAATATTTCTCCTCGCCGCGATGTCACGAGCGATATCCTCAGGTGATTGGGGTTCGTGTGCATTTGAGGCGCGGATGGCAGATTCCCAATTCTTCACACGCCAGAAACCGACCAAAGAGGAAAGGAGCAAAAACCAACCTGCGAGACGGGGTAAGTAAACGGCAAAAAAATGAAGACAGGTAACGCGTACCGAGAGTCATTAAAAGAAACGATAGCCACTCTCGTGAAGACATGCTGAGAACAACAGTATTGTCCTGAGGCATGGGAGCCGAAGGTGAAGGCGGGGCGGATAGCATGAGGACATCAGGAGCGCCCTTGTCATCAGGCGTGGGAAGTATGTTATCTGTCGCAGAACGAGAGTAAAAGCCATATTGAATCAATGTTAGTCCAAGGCCAGCTCTCGAGCCAAACTTTGCAGGCGTGTGTAGTATGGAGAAGGTATGTGAGGAGGAAGCCGATAAACTGGAAGAAAAATGAGACGAAGAGGTTCGAAATGAATGCGAGGATAGAGCCCGAGGGAAGATCGCCAACGATCATCCCAGCATCGGTATCCATTCCAGAAGGAGCGTGCACAATTGTATCCCAATACGGGGGAACAGTATCTGCTTGGGCTGCCGCATAAGACTTCAAAAATAATGAGGTAAGGTATATCAGAAAACGAGTGTAGGCATACGGGTGGAGCAGTGTTCTGCGTCTCCTCAGGGACTATGTAGACGGTGCCATCCTCAGCTTGTATTGGTACCGAGGATACGGGTTTGACGACGACATTTGAGAACACTCCATCATTCTGTATCCCTCCACCCCTCACCCCAGTGGGCGGTTCATGGGTCGGTACGCGGACGTAGTGAGTAGGTAAGATGGCCCCAACTGCCCTGCGCAAGAATGATGGTCGAGGTAATGTCGTCCCTAAAGGAGATGTTGGTAATTCGCCATTTGAATTGCCTATATCGTTGGGCAAAGCAGTTGCTAGAAGCTGCGGGGGAGAACCAGGGGGCGGGCGGTCGTAATCGTAATTCCGCTCAAAGTCATATGTTCCAGGAATTGTTGTACTGCATGACGTGCTTTTTGGGGGATCTGCGACGTAGGAAAGGGTATCAGCGCGCTGGTGATTGGATGGTGGGCGTTCAATGTAATCTTCATCATCGCCATCGGACTCAAAGGCGTCATTGAGTTCACGATCAGCATCTCGCAATGACTGCTGGGTTGGTAGCGGTGCATAATGTGCAGGCATGGCACGTCGCGTACGTAGGATATGCCAGACCTGCAGAAGCCTGCGGAGGTGCTATATAGTGTAAGTGAGCGCTGCCACAGCTGCGGTGCAACTTGTCCACGCCAAGTTGAAGTTCTCACGACACAGTGACCCGAAATTCTCTTCATTGATTGCAACTTGCTTTCGAATATATGACTTGCAGTCGTCGTTTCACAATTATCAATGTTTGAATGTATCATCGAGGACGTCGGGAAGTACTGACCAGCACTAGAACGCTAGCTGCATGCTGCATCAGCCTGCATGTTGCATGCCTTATAAATAGAACTGTGACTTGCGAGCTTCTGAGCTCGGGCCGCACGTTCATTCGGTTACAACTTACTCACTCGTGGCACTGTTGCATAGGCTCCTCGATAAGATAAAGGACTGGGAGCTCGATTCCTGGTCACGCCACCCAACTATGTCTTCTTCTTTCACTTATCAGTTTGACACACCGACCTACAAGGGCACCTCGACGGTTTCTACTGGCCTATTTATCAATGGAAAGTTTGTTGAACCCATAGAGAAGGGCACGATCGAGTATGTGCTTATCTTTACCGTACTCAGCGTCTACCTGATGCCTCGCCGACTTAGGGTCCTGAATCCGGGTAGGTTAATCAACCGCTTATACCTAATCAACTTTGACAGCGGATGTAGTCAATGGAAAGGTCATAACCTCAGTCGCCGCTGGAACTGCTGCAGATATCGACATTGCCGCTCAGGCCGCAAAGAAGGCTTACAAAGAGCGCTGGGGCTTGAAGGTCCCTGGTGCGCAAAGGGGCAGAATGCTCAACAAACTTGCAGACCTCCTCCAAGCTAACGCCGACGAATTCTCTGCCTTGGAGGCTTTGGACGTAGGTAGGGTGATACTTCAGCTAGATATGTTGCTCGTGATGTGACATTATGTGCAGGAAAATCCTTCAACATCGCCCGGAATGCTGATATCACCGGGTCTATCGCTGTCCTAAGGTACTATGCGGGATGGGCGGATAAGATTCAAGGGAAAACTATCGAGGTTAGAAAGACCTGGTGTCTCCTTCGGGACAATTCTAATCTATACCCACCTGATAGACGAACGAAAAGAAACTGGCTTACACGCGTCACGAGCCCATTGGAGTTGTGGTTCGTACTCTCACTTCATCGTGCGGTGAAGACATGGGAGCTCAGCATATCACAGGGCGCGATCATTCCTTGGAACTTTCCTCGTATGTTCATTTAATCCATATTCAGTGAGCGAATAACGACGTGAACAGTTACGATGCTATCGTGGAAGATCGGCCCAGCTCTAGCAGCGGGTAACGCTGTCATCCTGAAACCCTCTGAGCTGACACCATTGACTGCGCTTCGTATCTGTCCTTTGTTTGTTGAAGCGGGCTTCCCTGATGGTGTCATCAGCGTTGTCAACGGATACGGTAGCACCGCGGGTCAAGCCCTCAGTGAACACATGACCGTCGACAAAATAGCCTTCACAGGGAGCACACTTACTGGGCGCAAGATCATGGAAGCCGCTTCTAAGACCAATTTAAAAAAGGTCACTCTCGAGCTTGGCGGTAAGAGCCCCAGCGTCATATTCGACGATGTAGACCTGGAGCAGACCGTGAAGTGGGTTTCACATGGAATATTGTATGTCACCTGCATCGTAGCCGAGCCTTGCTCACTCTCCTCACAGCATGAATCACGGACAAGCGTGCACCGCAGGTTCCCGCATATTCGTACAAGCAGGAATATACGATAAATTTTTGAAAGCGTTCACTGAGCATGCCTTGTCTTTGAAAGTCGGCGATCCATTTGCAAGAGACACTTACCAAGGTCCACAAGTTTCGCAGACGCAATTTGAGGCGAGCGCCCACCTAATGTACCAGTGAGCGGTTCTGCTTACTTTCTATTAGCGGATCATGGGATACATCAAGTCTGGCAAAGAGGAGGGCGCAACCATTCATATCGGTGGAGAACGCCATGGGAATCAGGGCTACTTTATCCAACCAACCATTTTCACGGAGTGCAAACCGAATATGAAGATCGTGCAGGAAGAGATATTTGGTCCCGTGGCCGCGATCATCAAGTTCACCACAGAAGAGGGTGAGGACATCCCCCTACGGATGTATCCGAGTGCTGACAAAGTATCACAGAGGCCATTGAGCAAGCGAATGATACCTTATATGGCCTTGCTTGCTCTGTTTTCACCAGGGACATAGACAGAGCGATTCGAGTCGCGCATAGTATCGAAGCTGGTACCGCATGGGTGAGCACGAGCAAGCTAGTGTTAGGACTGCTGATGATTTGATGGGCATAGATCAATTGTCACAACTCCACCGAATTGAGCGTTCCGTTCGGTGGTTTCAAACAGTCAGGCATTGGGCGTGAGCTTGGCGAATATGCCTTGGAACAGTGAGTCAAGACATAGCGGTATGGTGGCTTCCACTGACCTTTTGTTTCAGCTATACAAACGTGAAGGCTGTTCATGTTAACATCGGACACCGTCTTTGAAAAACAGTTATTCGCCATGCTTTGTATCAATATTATCTACGTGATGTCTGTTAAGAAAACGGAGTACCGGAAAGCGAACTCAAAACAACACAATGTATCTAGCTATGCTGCCATTTCTGATATAGCACTACCATTATCTCTCTTTATATCTGTGGACTACGGCAGTATTGACCACAGTGCCATGTCTTCGATCTTTGCCTTTTAGCAACTCCAAATAGTCGAGCAACCTCAGGGGCGTTCGTTCCACTTTGGGGAATGTGACGTACTAATGTAGTGTTACAGTCGGGTCGGACCAACCTGAACGAAATCGTGTACCTTGTCTTCGATTTGTCCTGTGCTCTGGTATTTATTGTTGCTAGCAATGCTCAGGGTATGCTTCACGAGGTTGCACATTCCGCTTCGGAGCTGGCCTCATGGTACTGTGAAATACCTCTCTCGATCTGCGGCACCGGGGAGGCCATCATCTTTGATAGTATGTCGTATTATCTCTAGGCTGTCATTCATGGTTCATTCTATGGTTGATAATCAGATCTCTAGTACACTTGGATCGCGCTGGACACTCGGATCGCTGACTAGAAGTCGCTCCATCTCCTCCCCAGCGACTAGAGAAGTTGTTTCTTCGGAGCAGTTGGGCGTCACAGAGCCTAGAATTCACAGTGATATTCCTATTGCTAACGCTGGTGAGCGCAAAGTATCCATTCTTTGGGGCCCACAGCATTGGTCTAGATTGTATGGACCTTCTACCTCGTAGTAATTTCTGATCTGAACGTGCAAACTGTCAGTCACCACATCTGGTTGCGCGACCACTGCAGATGCCCAGATTGTTTTCACCCGATAACAAAGCAGCGACTGCTCAACACATTCGAGGTAGTCCAGCAGCAGAATGGTGATGATGTCTATACTAAGAAGAAACGTTTCCGCAGATTCCAGCTGATATCAAACCTATACATATACAAGGCTCCACAGATGGCCTCGAAGTTGTCTGTATGTTGGCTCAACTGAATTCTCAACTCGATTTGATCCGTTACTTAGGGCCCGGAACTAGCACTGAATCTCACTCATCGGTATACCCATGGACATGGCTACAGGCTAACACATACGATCCAGCTCTTCAAACAACGCCAAGCCGGTGTGATATTTTCTTTCATAATCCGTACCTTCTGCTTATCGTGCACTAGGAAAGTCCCTTGGGGATCAAAGATCGGGAAGTCCCCACCCTCTGTGACTTATACCGAGATCATGGACGACAAGGGATTGCATAAGTGGCTGACGAACGTTGTGCGTAAATCGAGAGCTTTAGGTGCTTGTCTCATGCGCATGCAGGAAATGTTTGGCTTTTGCTTCGTCTCAGGGGTCCCCGCAACACCTGAGGCCACAGAGGAACTCTGCGAACGCATCGGTTTCATCAGAGAAACCCAGTGTACGCCCTCCTTCCTTGTTCCTTCACTCTTGGTCTGAATGCGCTTAGATGGGAAGTTTTGGGAATTTACTGCTGATCTTTCAAAGGGAGATACCGCGTACACCACAATGGCACTAGGAGCACACACTGATAACACCTATTTTGTATGGGACATGCTCGTAGTTCTCGTTGCGCTGCTGATTGATTGTGAGCACAGACTGACCCTTGCGGTCTTCAACTTTTCCATCTCCTATCACATACCGAAGGCTCTGGAGGAGCAACGCTTCTCGTAGATGGTTTCTATGTCGCCGCCCTTATGAAAGAGCTACATCCGAAGTTCCATGATCTCCTTTCTCGTGTGCCCATTCCAGCCCATGCAGCAGGAGAACCGTCAGCACTGTACACTCCGAGTCCTCCTGCAATGTACCCCCCGTTACGATATCACCCGAACACCAAAGAACTCGTGCAGGTACGGTGGAACAACGATGACAGAAGCGTGATGAGCCACTTGCCACCAGACGAAGTGGAGGAATGGTAAGTGCACTGCGTGGGTCAGATAACTTCACTTTACTTCATCTAAACCTCAGGTATCAAGCAATCAAGATTTGGAACGAACTCCTGACGAAACCTGATTCAGAGTATTGGGTCCAACTCACTCCCGGCACTGTATTAAGTAAGTCCTATCCGTGTCTGCCTGCCATATGACTTAATATCGTCTCTAGCAATTGATAACCATCGTGTGCTTCATGGCCGATCCGCTTTTGACGGTAAGCGCCGCGTGTGTGGTGCCTACATCGGCATAGATGAATACCGTTCGAAGCTCGCTGTCCTTAAGGAGAAATTCGATGGTGTCGATGACAATGGCCAGAACAAGGCAGGGAGACCTGATGATAGCAGAAGCATTTGGAACTCCAATCTATGATCCGAGGGCCACTTATTGAGACTCTGGTCCTTCATGAAGGTTTGATATTGATTATGATTTAGCCTTGACAGTACGAGTCGGGGTATGTATACAAAGCAATTAATTTCAGAACGGGCATCGGATTTGTCACTTTGGTTGCACGCAGTACCCTCGGACAAAAATTCGAGAATGTCTTCTTCAAAAGAAAGGCACCCATCTTGTCGTAACTCATATCTCATGTGTAACTTCTTCGAGAACTTGCAGTAGTAGACGTTCCGAAGGGGTCATTATCCCATGATAGTGCACTAAGTGGATGGCGGAATGGAGAGAACTGGCGTGTATCTAACGGTTCGCACCCGAGGCTCTCTATTGCATTACAGGATCAAAAAACAAATTTCGTTGTGGTGTACATGCAGTGAGGCCTGAAGAGATTACCAGAAGTTGACCGTCTTCACCGGGAAGCAGCTTGCAGACTATGCTGTCTTTGAATGTTACATAGCATGTCTCCGGTAACGAATAAGTACAAGATGTACATACAAGCATACGATACTTTCACCTAAACACTACATCAAGAATGCTGTATGGATTTGAGAATGAACCCCTCGAGCCCACCACACACCCACAGCTCCTGCACGCTTGCACCAACCGTGCGTACTTTGTAGTTCTTTTCTCCATCAGAACCACGCAGAGTGACATTCCCGTCCGTCATCGAAACACGTATCTCATGCCCTTTATCTACTGTGAGCTCGCCTTCACGTCCACCTGCACCACGTGCGCCGCCTTTGGCGTACGTCGCAGTGAGGTCAGCGACGAGCTCAGGACATTCAAGGCAGACAAGACCGTTATTGATGGCATTACGCTTGAATATGTCGCCAAATGAGCCTGCAATGACGAGTGGCACACCGGCTGCCTTGAGCGCGGTAGCAGCCTGTTCGCGAGAGGACCCAGTACCGAAGTTGTACCCCGATACTAAGATCACACCGGACTTGGTGCTTTCATCTGATGTGGAGAGTGAAGGGAGAATGGTAGCGACATTGCCTGCGAATGACGGGTCGTAGTTCTCCATAACTACTTGTGCTTGGCGTTCGAGGGTGATATCATCTTGGTATGTGTATTTTCCGGGGTATAGTGCATCCGTGCTCAGGTTATCCTGTGGTGCGAAGAGCAAGCGACCAGAAAAGGCTGCGGGGAAGCCAGGGAAGAGGGGTTCTTCTGCTTGTGGAACCTCTGCCGCGTCCGAAGAGCCAGAAGCGATGGAGAAGGTGAGTGCGCCTGCAGGAGGAAGCGAGGTTGCGTCAAGAGAGTTGGGGGAGCAGATAAACCCCTTGACAGCGCTCGCAGCAACTACTGCAGGACTGGCAAGGTACGCCTGAGCCTTAGGGTGCCCCATTCGTCCCTTATAATTCCTGTTCGTGGCGCTAATACCCGTCTCACCCTCTTCCAACAACCCAGTGCCGAGCCCGATGCAAGGCCCACAACCTGCTGGGAGCACTTTGGCACCTGCAGCGATCAACTTGTTCCAGTGTCCCAACTTCTCCGCCTCAGCCTGTACCACCGAGCTCGCAGCTGCGACATAGAACTCGACGCCCTCTGCAATCTTCTTGCCCTCAACAACAGACGCGGCTGCAGCAATATCAGAGACGCGGGAATTGGTACATGAAACCAAGTATGCTTTCTGGATCGCAATTTGCTGGGATTCTAGCTTGGGAAGTGGGGTAGAGACCTTGACGCTGTTGGGACCGGAGACGTGCGGGACGAGGGTAGAGAGGTCGAAGATCAGATGTGAGGAGTATTGGACACCGAGATCGGACGCAAGGTTGGTTGCCCGGAGAGCATCAAGACGGCGGCGATTGATACGTGGGTGTTCTGGTGGAGGCGGAATTGACTTGGAGGCGAATGTCCTTTGCTCTAATTTTGCCAATGCAGTCTCGTACCAGCTCAGAAGTGTGTTGTCGACAGGGAAAACGCCTACAAGGGCGCCCCATTCCGTTGTCATATTCGAAATCGTAAGCCTGTCGTCAACGGAAAGCGCAGGGACGCCCTCCCCAGTAAACTCGATTGCAGCGTTAAGAACTTCATCGTTGTTGAATGACCCGCAAAGCGCGACAATCACATCCTTGCCGGTGACACCTGGGGCAAGTTTTCCTCGAAATTCCACCTTGACCATACGAGGGACTTGCCACCAAGTCTTTCCTGTAGCCCACAAGGCTGCTGCATCTGTGCGCACGATGGGTGTACCCACACAAGCAACACCTCCATACATATTTGAATGCGAATCAGAGGCGACAGTGAGGGTGTGCGGGAATGCATAGCCTTCTTCTACGAGGACTTGGTGCCCGATACCGCGGCCAGCAGGATAGAAGTCAATCCCGTGTGTGCGTGCAAATGCTTCAATGTTGGCATACTTTGCAAGGTTTTTGGGAGATTTGTTCTGAACATCGTGATCGAGGGTGAACACCGTCTGCCGGGTATCAACGATTTTCTTCGCACCTATGGACTTGAATCTACGTGCACATCATATGAACGATGATTTGAGAGAGGAGAAGAAGAAAAGCATACTTGGATATGACAGGGCCAGTGTTGTCGTGGGTCATGACATGCTCCGGGCGAATCATGACATAGTCGCCCGCTTTGACAACTTTGCCATCGGGGAGATTGACTGAGTACTTTTGAACAACTTTTTCAATGATAGTCTGGGGAATTCGGGGAGTGGGTACGCTGGTAGCGAAGAGCCGTGCTGTTTGCAGGTACCCTCTACTGGGCATGCGCGGTGGAAGACGCATCACAAGTATTTGACACAGTGAGTGAAAAACCTGCAACAAGTTGAGACTCAAAATATAAGTGTAAGAGAAACAGACCACTTTGTTAGGGACAGTGTTCTGCCGATCAACGAGCGTTAAGAATGTTCAAACGTTTATGTATTGATACGTTCAGTGACTAGTGACTTTCCCATGGATGTAATTTGAACTGAACGCGTTCATCCTGGATATTGTACAATCACGTTATTATGATTGGACGTCGACAACGAAGCAACGCCAGCTGACAGTGAACTAGCTTCCCCACGAATTGCAGTCAACGACTGTGACTGACAGGCAGGACACTGGAAACAGACCACTTTGTTAGGGAACCGAATAATACCGACAAGCTAATATGATTCCATTCATATGGTCACAACGAGGATACATTATCCATACACTACGTAATTTACAAAGGGATATATCAACGGGCAAGGACTACGCGCTGGCGACTCCGACAGTGATAGCTGTAGGCACTGCAATAGGTGGAGCTGGCGATTTCAGCACTTTCTCCGCGACCGCATCCTTTGGAGGAGTGGATGACTCAGGTGAGCTGGAAATGTGATTCGTCTTCATCTTCTTCTTTTTCTTCATGAGACCTGCAAATTGAAACATCAGCACGAACACTATGTAGTGGACGCGGTATTCTGACCTGCAGACACCGCAGATTTGACATTGTCGACGATCTCCCTACTTTCCTCAAGGTATTCTGTGTCATCGAACCGGTGCTTCTTGCCAGCAACAGTCTCCGTATCCCCTGATGCAGCTGCAATCTTCTTCTCGAGTGTTTCTAGCTTGGCTTTTTTGGCCTCAGCCTGGGCCTTCTTCCGTTCATCTTCATTTCCCATGTAGTCTGCGAGCCTAAAACAACATGGTCAATACATTAAACCCTGCAGTAGTAGGGAGACGTACCTTTTCGCGGTTTTGATGGTACTAAGCCTGCGTCCACTAAGATCTCTGCACGAGTCATTGTTACTGGTCTTCTGACTACTCATACGACCACCGGCGGCACGCAACTGCGAACCAAAACCTCCTTTACCACCTCGGAGTCGGGGAATAAGTTTTAGCGTGATGAGAGTCGCATCTCGTCCATGAATATCAGAGAGGAGGGTGTCAGATGTAGGGACAGATCCAGCATGAGATGAAATTCTCAAGTCCTCTGAAGCAGGGAGATCAGAATAGCGCTCGCACAAAAGAGAATACAGGTCATCGAATCGTGTTTCTGGAGAAACAGAGAGTGAAAGAGTCGGGAATGGAGCAAACGTTGAGAAAAGAACTGTGGTGGTCATGGTAGACAGCAGTGAGCAAGAGCCTAATTATGTAATCCTACAGATCGGATCAAACCTGTATGATTATGTAACCTGTGGGCGTCAATCACCCCTGTGAGAAACTATCTTTAACTAACTCCTCTCTTTCACCAACACTGCCAGCAAGTACGACAACTTAAATCAATTGCGCAGCCTGATACTCTCTAATCGACATGGATTTCTGGCGCGTACTCACACATGAGGCGCCTATGTTTGTCTGGCCCGTCAAATTCTGTGTGGCCATGACTACTGCCACATACGTGCTCTCCATCCTCACCAACAACGTATCGCAGGTGGACAGAGTCTGGACGTTTCTCCCAACCATATATACTGCATACTATGCTTTTCTGCCGCTTTGGCCATCTGTTCCACCCACCCATTTCTTTCCATACACCCCTGACACAATGCCCGCATCTCTAAGGGAGACCTTCAGTCCACGAGCCTTGCTCATGGCAAGTTTGGTGGTGAGTATCTCATTTTCTCAATTGTTTGTAGTCAGCTTAACCACCTTCAGGTAACGTGGATGTTCAGGTTGCTAAATGTCTTCTTCATATCCACTGGCACTCATGAATCCCACCCTCCGCAGATTAAGTTACAACACTTGGCGACGTGGTCTATTCAGCTTGTAAGCTCATTTTTCATTGCTGATACAATTATAAATCAAGACATGTTCACAGAAAGGATGAAGATTATCGCTGGGAAGTTCTGCGACAGAAAATCTCGCCTTTTCTCTTCCAAGTATTTAACCTCTTTTTTGTTGGTATGGCTACAAATTATCCATCGGTCTCTCTACTAAGTCAGCATAAGCAATCACGCAGAATATAATCTTATTTCTCTTGGGCCTTCCAGCCGCCCGTGCAGTGGCTCAACCACATACGCCCCTCTCAACTTCGGATTATATTTTCGGAACGCTAGGATTTCTCACTATCCTCACAGAGTTTATCTCGGATAACCAGCAATACTCTTTCCAAACCTTCAAACATTCCGGTATGCTGAACCCAAATGAATGGCCCGGCGCGAAAATTCAATGGACCAAACATGATGCTGAACGCGGATTTGTGACCCGCGGTTTATGGGCTTGGTCACGGCACCCAAATTTCCTGTGCGAACAGAGTTTCTGGGTATGTACATCTCCATTTCGCAGTTCCGTTCAACATAGGAATCTATTACTAATAACCCCTTTCGTACCAGATCATAATCACACTCATCCCTCTCCTCTCGCCTGATTCACCGAAGCTCGACTTTCCGCCGACTTCGTTCGCATCACTCACACCCTTCCTCCCATGTTTAGTTCTCTGCACTTTGTTCTTCTCTTCGACTATTTTTACCGAGTCGATCTCGAAGGCAAAGTACCCCGTTGCATATTCAGCTTACCAAGAGCGTGTGGCGATGTTCTTGCCTTTGCTCACCCCCGTATGGAGCCTGCTTCTGGACATTCGGGGGAGAAAGGGGAGTGTCGATTCGCTGGTCTACGGTACCGGGCTGAACTCCAAGGGCAAGGGCAAGGCTGAATGAGATCTTTGCACGTGTTCGACATTAAAGTTTTTCTTCATTTGCGTATATAGTTGTTCCCCTGATGTATGGCGAACTTGATTGATATTGATCGCATGTTCGAGACGCTATCCGCTGTACCCACTGTTATTCCAGCTAATGCCAAGTCGCGTGACCGCATGAGCAGGTGTTATCGGACTACGCACGGGCCGCCTAAGCCTGGTTGTTCTCACTGACGGTCATATGCATACATTTGGGCTCCGGATATCAGCCAGGACGGAAATCCGCACCCCGCTCAGTGTAGGTTACAATCTGACTAGCCTAACTTCATACACAAACCCTTCTAATGGCATCATTAAAGGTTGCAGTGATTACGGGGGCATCCTCTGGTGCGTTTTGATTGCACTTCACACTTATTCATAAACTCACTTCCGTGGCCCGGTTTCAGGTATCGGGCGTCATTCGGCTATCAAGCTCTCCTCTGAGGGTTGGAGCTTGGCATTGACTGCTCGAAGGCTGGCTCAACTCGAAGAGACAAGATCCCTCTGTGCAAATCCAGATGCATGTCTCCTCGTTGCTGGCGAAATCACAGACGAAGCCTTTGTGAAAAGCTTGTTCGAGGAGACTGTGAAGAAATTCGGTAGATTAGACCTGTTGTTCAACGTGAGTAGTGTGCTTCTTCTTTCGCGGTTTTCCGTCGTTGTAGTCGTGTATTGACAATGTAATAGAATGCTGGTTTGTCTGACAAGGCAAGGCCCATCGAGGAGATGCCGCTTGAGATGTTCACATCGGTCGTTAATGTCAACCTTATTGGCTCGTTCCTTTGCACTCGCGAAGCTTTCAAGATTTACAAGCAACAAGAACCCACTGGAGGTTCGAGAAGCTGGATAATGAAAAACCGCAGTGTATTGATCTACAACCCTATGCAGGAAGGATCATCAACAATGGCTCATTAGCTGCCCACGTGCCAAGGCCTCATTCCGTTGCATACGCGACCTCTAAACACGCAGTGCACGGTTTAACTAAGACCATCGCTATCGAGGGGCGAAAGCACAATATCTCTGTGACGCAGATTGACATTGGTGCGTACCTTGACAATATGGGAGGAAGTTGATGCGACGGTGGTTTTACCAGGAAACGCGCACACGTCTATGGCTGCAGGGCACACTTTAGGAGCGTTGCAACCCGATGGTCGGAGAGTCGTTGAACCGACTTTTGATCCGATACATGTTGCGGATGCGGTTGCGCATATTGCGAGTCTCCCTACATCCGTTACGGTACTGGAGATGAATATTATGTGAGTGTGCGACCGTTTTTCTTGGGTTCTGGATGCTGACCTGCTACGTAGGGCGACTGGTGCTCCTTATGTCGGAAGAGGATGACCATCGATACTTACAATTGTGGACGAAGACAACGGGATGATTCAGTAGAATAGTTGTATGAGCGTGGTGACATCGTTGCTGATTACATGAGTACCACCTACGTCGTCTAGCAATGCACTGATACATACAAAACAATGCATGTAACATGGATATTAAGTTTAGACAGTGCGGTCTTCAACGTCTTGACTGTGAAGTCCCCACCAACTCTCTTGGACCGTCGAGTTATTTATACGCTAGCGCCAAGCTACAGAATGGGATGAAAAATTCTTGTCACGAGGAGGCGGAGTCTGGGACACTTTAAAAGGGTGACACCAAAAATGAGATCCGGGGCGATTCATCATCGAGGAAGATGCTGAGGCAGGAGGGCGGTGCACCTTGTAATGACATTCAACCAGAAATTTATTCAATACGCAGCACCTAGCAAGACCATAAACTAGAGCCAGTGCTCATGACCTGTGTAATAGGTTATGAGCCCTGGATCTTGCCTAGGTTCTCGGCTGATGGTGTTCGGGAACAACGAGCTCTCATTAGCTCATGTGAACATGGCGGGAGACACCGACCAGTTGCCGAGGGAATCGAGGCGGAGCTTCAAGCCTAGTAAAAACCCAACACACGAAGAGTACACGGTGCAGCAAGACCACGCACTAGAGGGAGTGCCCATAACCTATGGTCCTATAGGTTATGAGCCCTACCTCCGTTCTTGGAAGTGAATATTGCGCTCATGAACTGTGGGGGGAGACAACTTGAAAGAGAAAATGAGCGATTATATACGTCGCAACTTGTCGCCTGCCCTAAACTAGCTGTGTGCGGTGCATTGATTGGGCAAGGTTCTTGAAGGAGAACGCTATGAGAATCCGAAAGATCATTGAAGGACAGGTGGGTCGAGCAGAGAAGCACGCACCAGCTGGAGTACTATTCCAAATTTCCCATCAGCTTCTTGAACCTTTTCGGCTCCTTGCCCGGCCCATTTGGCTGTCAGCATCGCCCCCCACGGACATAAAGTGGGACTCTTGATTCAAATGTTCAATCGCGCCCTGCATGCGCAACTTTGGTCTGATTGGGCCGCTACATGCAGCAAATGTTGCCACACAGTATCTTGATCAAGCTACCGCAGCACCAGGATTTTTTTGGCAGTTCTCTTTATGCGATTTCACTCCATTGCGGCAGCTCTGAGCCTAGGGTCAGCAACTCTGGCATTGCATGACCAGTTTCCCATCAACACCGTTGGAGAAACCAGTGTTCGACCCTTGGATGTCACCATCTTAAATCCTGGTCATGCATACGGTATTAGCTCCAATAGTGAGCAATGGAAGTTTGACGAAAATCCTCCCGAGAATGCGACAGGAAACTTGATCTTCGACACTGTCCATTCACTACTACAGCACTGGCCAAATACACGGTATCGTAATGGTGCGTTCCCGCTGCGTTGCTGACGCTCAAAAATGATTCAAATTTTCGTAGGACACAACATAGTACCAGGAGTGATTCCAATCGGTACTTTGCTCTATCACGGTACCAATGGTTCGCATATGATACCCAGCGAGCCCGAGTGGACCTCTACGGACCCAGAGCATTCTATTTTCTTCGCTCGTGGAAATGGCAGTGGCTGGCACCTCACGCTGGCAGCAACACGACCTCTCAAAGTATTGTACTTTGATGGAAGCAGTGCTGCTAAGCTATCCGGAGGTACAATGGACATGCAAGATACAATCGTCTGGGGAGAACCGCGACCCGAGCGATTCTTCGATGAAAGGGACCGGATTAATGGTCTCTGTACGTGGGGCAAGGAATTTGGAATTGATGGTTTCGTGAGGATGGAAATGGACTTGTACGTATACTCTTGATTCTATGTCGTGCTTCCGACTAATGAGCATCTATCCAGCGAAGTTATGTTGTGCGATTTTACGGCTGGTGTCGAGGTAGTGTCTTTTCTGTACCTCGCATTACCAAAGGACGAACGGTCATTCCCTCACCCTACGCCGCTTGATTCTGACACCGGTCAGTACTGTCTTCTCGTGGTCTAACATGTCTGATGGTGTATGTTCCTGAGCGTAGGGACTCGCACGTTTGAAGTTTTGCATTCCGGCTCATGGCACAATCGCTACCCAGGAGAGTCTCGTATTGTACTGGACCTGACTGGTCTTATCTCATTTTATGACACTGCACTTGCACCATCCCTCATTCCGGTTCGCGCAGGTCTTGAACGGTGCGACCACCGCGTACTCGGAATATCATCAGATGACATATCCCGGGTGATGAGAAAGTTTATCGAAGTCATCACTCGACCACACCCAGTAGGCAGCGGCATTGACTGGAAGACCCTCACCCACGTCATTGTCAATCGATATGCAGATCGACTCGAGCTAATGCAGCATCTGTTAAACTTTACCTCATCAGACTCGCAAGAGCTCCTTCATCAAGCAAAGCTTGCACAGACACAACTCCGTGTCATGCTTACGCCGTATCTATTATATTCCACCATTGTCCCCAGCACAGTCACATCAGGTGTAGATGCATCACAGTGGGCTTTCCCAATCTTCAGGCTATGCGCCACAACACACACTTCCAAGATGATCGACCAAATACCATCTATGACATCTTCGGAACGTCTGCTGTTGGCAGCCATCGAGGACACAACAAGAGAAATCTGTCGTGTAACTACGAACATGTGGGCTAATGGTGTCATGAGCGGGCTCGACAGCCTCTTTCATGTGGAACGTAATATGGATTATGAAGTCACTCGATTGATGAATGATTGGAGACATGACATCGAGAAGTTGATGTCTTGGTTGGACTGGAGTGTATGGGTCAAATGCCGATCTGCCTGCGGGACAGAGGTGGGAGCTATGATCAGTCCCTGCGAGCTGACTGGACCGAATACTTTTAGGAAATGTGCTATCTCCCTAGCCCGAGGCCAAGGCGCCCACCTCCTCGAAACCTCAATGATGCCCTGGAGGCAAAGTCTCTTGCTGATCGAGCTGAACCTCCGCCCTATGGTCTAGTCATTGCAGATTCGCCTTTCTTCTATGTCACGCCGGAGGATTTGAGGAAGCCCCAGCCAAGGTGCATTAGGCGCCTCCAGCCGTATCGGTGATTATTTTGGGCCTTTATTTTATAGTTGTTAGTCACCTGGACGTACACTTTCTAATAGTCCTGTGCTTATTAATAACGAGATTCACGAGTGTGTATCGCTGCTGGAGCTTTAGCACTGGAATGTGATCCGGTCAACTTCTTGCTTGTTTCCGCAGTGAACCCTAAGATTCCCATCCGAATCATAGTGGGTATTCGGTACCTCGTGTTGGAACCGAATAAATCATTAATTACATTCGTGGACAGGCCCGTATGATATACTACTTACAGTGATTGCATCACTCTTAAGCGTTTTCACGCAGTGCCTTGGTAAAGCTGTCAGTTTGCCACAGCACAAAGATTGATTTTTATGCATTACCAGTCCCTTGTGACAGCTCTGAGCTTAGGGTCAGCAGCTCTAGCATTACATGGCCAGTTTCCGATCAACATCGCTGAAGAAATTGGCGCTCGACCCTTGGATATCACCAACTCGAACCCTGGCCATCTGAACAGTATCAGCTCCAACAGTGAACAATGGAGGTTTGACGAATGTCCTCCCGAGAACGCGACAGGGAACTTGATCTTCGACACTGTTCATTCATTACTACAGCACTGGCCAAATACACGATATCGTAATGGTGCGTTTAGCTGTGTTGCCGGCGCTCGAAAAACAATTCAGCTTTGTGTAGGACACAACATAGTACCAGGAGTGATTCCAATCGGTACTTTGCTCTACCATGGCACTAATGGCTCGCGTATCATACCCAGTGGGCCCGAGTGGACCGCTATGAACCCGGAGCATTCTATTTACTTTTCTCGTGGAAATGGCAGTGGCTGGCACCTCACGCTGGCAGCAACGCGACCTCTTAAAGTATTGTACTTTGATGGAAGCAGTGCTGCTAAGCTATCCGAGGGTACGATGGATGTGCAGGACATAATAGCCTGGGGAGAACCACGACCCGAGCGATCCTTTGATGAAGGAGACCGGATTAATGCTCTTTGTGCATGGGGAAAGGAGTTTGGAATCGATGGTTTCGTGAGGTTAGATATGATTCTACACCGCGTGCTACACCACTAATTCCCAGATCTCTAGGATGGAAATGAGCTTGTGCGCATACTTTTGATACCGCATTACGCTTCCAACTGACGGACATCTAGTGAAGTCATGTTGTGTGATTTCACAGCCGGCGTCGAGGTAGTATCTTTCGTACACATCGCCTTACCGAGGGACGACCGATCATTCCCTCTCTCTACTTCAGTCGATCCCAACACTTGTCAGTATTGTCTTCTAGTATTCCAACATGACTGATGCCATACCTTACTGAGCTCAGTGATTCGTACGTTCGAGGTCTTCCACTTGTGGCTTATGGCACAATCGCTACCCAGGAGATTCTCGCATTGTGCTGGACCTGACTGGTCTTATATCATTGTATGATACTGCACTGGCACCATCCCTCATTTCGGCTCGCGCGGGTTTTGGACGGCTTGACCATCGGGTATTTGGAATATCATCAGATGACATATCGCGGGTGATGAGAAAGCTCATCAAAGTTGTCACTCGACCACACCCAGTAGGCAGCGGCATCGACTGGAAGACCCTTCTTCATGTCATCGTTGATCGATACGCGGATCGACTCGAGTTGACGCGGTATCTCCTCAATGTTACCTTATCAGACCCACAAGAACTCCTTGAGCGAGCGAAGCTCGTGCAATTCCAGCTCCGTGTTATGCTCACACCATATCTATTACATTCCACCGCCATCCCAAACACAGGCACTTTAGGCATATATTTATCACAATGGGCGTCTCCGATTTTTAGTCTATGTGTCACAACACACACTTCCCAGATCACAAACCTCAAACCCTTAATGACGTCTTCGGAACTCCTACTACTGAAAGCAGTTGAGGACACAACGAGGGAGATCTGCCGTATCACTATAAAAATGTGGGCTGTAGGTGTCATGAGCGGCTTTGACACTCTTTTCCCCATTGAACTGAATGGCGAGCTTGATGTCACCCAAATAATGAATGACTGGAGACAAGACATCGGGAAGCTGATGTCTTGGTTAGATTGGAGTGTATGGATCAAATGTCGACCTGCCTGCGGTCCAGAGGTGGGATCTAAATAAAGTCTTTGCGAGCTGATTGGGTTGACCATTATTCACTTGCAGGAAATGTGCTATCTCTCTACTTGGCCCATCAATGCCCCAAGGCCAGAGCGTCCACTACTGTCTCCACGGAACTCACAAAACCTCACGAATTTCCCGGAAACACAATACGTCGCTGACCGAGTTACACAACCCAAATACCCTACGATGCCAGCAGAGGATTGGGGCTTGCCCCAACCAAGATGCATCAGGCGCCTCCAGCCGTACGGGTTTTGATTAAGATGTGCCTTCACATTGTTTGCACGGTTGCGAGTCATGTACCTGGATTATGCTTTTTAGGGTTTGATAGGGTTCTGGGATCCCAGTGGATGCTTGCGCGATAGCACTGGCGTCCGGATGGCGGGTGGGGCGGCAGGAGCAGCGACCCCACTGTTGTAATACCTCCCCAATACCAGCAATTCACAACGATAACCATTGATAGCTCATCCAATACTATTAGATCTGTGTCGATACCATTTTCTGGGCCAGATAGAATGATTTTAAGCGCGTATATTCAACTAAACAGAACGAAAACCTATTGATACACCAAAAGTTTTTCTCTACCTCTACCTTTTTGCCTCGTTTCTGCGAAAGACCTCGAAACGGAGTGACAGTCTTCTGATCTATTCGCCCCATATCGGCCTAATTCTTGTCGATTTTTAATGGGGATACGAGCTTGCATGAGTAGATATTTGAAACTACATAAATGGCAGACAGGAACAGCAACACTTCCGAAATCCCATGGGACCACGCACGGTAAATGCTACAATAGATGCTCATAATCAAAGTGGCCGAAAGCACAAGCCAAAAAAATAGCGCAGTCCATCACTCGCCCGCTCAACTCCTCCAATACTGCGCCAAATCATGGATCCGATCCAGCACAACCGTGAAATACGACGTCTCATTCAACAACGCCTCAAAATGCTTGATCGCCTCCTCCTCTGTCAAGTCCAACCGGAACTTCTCCTGGATCTGTTCATGCACATCGCGGTGCTTGATGTCTGGTATGTTCGCGTCTACCATCAGCGCTACCAAATTGAGAATGAGGTTGGCGCTTTTACGGAGGATCGTAAATGCGGTGAAACAGTAATTTTTGAATCGTGCGTAGTGGGTTGATTGGGCGCCGCCCATGCCGTCGACCATCTCTTTGCAGACTTTGACAGGAGGAGGAAATGGCTTTGGGTCCCGACCGAGGATATACCCAAAATCGACTGCATCGAATGTCAGCAGCACGAAACATACAGACAAAGTTACGCTGACCATGGAAAAAGTGACCTGTGGAGCCAATATTAAGAACTGGATCCTCCTGGTCATATTGTCACTTACCGTCCGGTGTCAGTAGAAGGTTGTCCAAATGCCGATCGCCCACGCCTAGCAGGTATGTCACAACGCAGTATCCAGCTATCACCAGGCCTTAGCGCACATTCCTCTGTAATGATCGCAGAAAAAACTCACCACAGCTGCGCACAAACGTATCAATAACGCTTGGCTCGACCCCATACGTTCCAACGCTACCTTCATCTGGATTATTTGCTCTCAAATAATTCAAGAGTGTCCCATTTTCACTGATGATTGCCGCGATAGTCTTACTGGGGATGTACTGTACCATACCCTGCAACGGCCCAGTCGCTAGCACGTCATAAGGAGTGAGCTTTAGATCCAAATTCTCCTTCCTGAGCAGCTGATCCATGAGCGTGAACAACTGGAGGACAAGCTGGTCCTGGCGCATGTCATCGCCATCTTTGAAAATCACGGGATACTCCATGCCGTCAGAACATTGAAAATATAACAAGAAGGGGTAGAGATTCGACTTGAAGACGGAAGACTTCTCAGCGTTGATGCCCGTGATCTCCATGCGCGCGTTGAGCGGTAGAGGTAGAGGGGGGATGTTGACGAGCCCGTTCTTGGAGTCGTTGATGAAGGAGCGGAGTTTCTCGATTTTCTTCGGTCGTGGATCTTTAGAAGTGCGCAATTCCTTGGCTCGTTTGGCGAGGGTCTCGACGAGGACGCCTTGGCGTCGCATGAGCTCGCGGCGTTCGCTGCCATTCTCGGACTAGGGAACCGTTTCGTCAGCGAGGGTAGACACAAGTAGGAGTCCGATTACCTCTAAAATCTTGTTCAGAAACTTGAATACCACCCGGCCGTACATTTTCGCCACGACCCTATCCTCCAATTCCACTTCCACTATCAGATACCAGTACAGTCGGTTACCCAACGTATGGTTCTGCACTCCGCGTGCGATCAGAAAGTCTGTCAGCCCGCTGTCGTCGTAGGATATTGCACTTGTTGTCGATCGACTCGAGCGCTGCTCGCTAGCGGCACTTTCAAACTTGAGCGCCTGTACCAATTGCAAGAGATACAATAGAAGCTCCTGCAAAGATCATCAGTGCCGCTGTCACACAAGGGAGAGAAACGCTTGACTTCGTCATCTGCGCGGTTAAGCTGCCGCACTGCAAACGCTCTTACTCTCGAGTCCACGGTCCCTGGTCCGAGGAGCTCCAATGCATCATCCATGTCAACCTCTGTCCACATCGGCAGTAGCTCCTCCACTGCTTGCTTCACTTCCGAAGGATCGCGCCAAGTGACAGACTTGAGGAATTTGGTAAGCCCGCGCTTGTCCCGTGCGAGGTAGAAACGGAACTTCCAGATGAGATCTTTCTCCTCGGAGTTAAGAGGCTGGGAGGGTGCATAATTGAGTATTTCCTACAAACGATACGTGAGGAAAACATTAGTGCATAACGCTTTGGCTCGGCACACATTAAGTTCATCTCTGATCTTGGCGTTTGGTTTGAGCTCTCTGTCGTACGGACTACTTCGGTGACTTCGCACGAGCCGGCGATGCTTGTCTTCCACTGGGTTTTCGCGTGCAATCTCGGGGTCAATGATCGTCCAAAGGTGTGGATCTGTAGCAAAATAACTGGGAAGTACAGGTGCGAGAGGTGTCTGAACTGCCGCTGGAGGTGCAAATGGTATCGTCGCCTGATTCTGAGCCTCCTGCAGAAATTTAAACGTCAACTAAACTACATTCAGGAAAACGACACTGACAGATTCGCTGAATATCACGGGAAAGTCAAAACGTGGAAGGTCGACATAAAGATACATATTCTCTGACTTCTCTGTCTCCGCCTTCAGTCCTCTTTGAGTGTTTGCATTTGGCTTGATTGTAGAGCACTTACAGCGTGTACCTCCTCCATCCTTCTGAAAGCCAAATTGTCCAACCAATCTGACTTTGGCAAGTCGCCGCGTTCGTATTTCTTCACAAGCTGAGGAGGAGAGCAATGAGCGAGCGTACCGAGAGCTATGGTACTGCCTACCTTCTCTAAGCGACCCATTTCATCCTTACTGCCATTTTTACTGGGAGTCTGGGTCTGCATGGAGCCGTCGGCTTCTCGACCCGCCCAAAGTAACAAGCGGTGTTTTCCCCTGCGTAAAGTCCTGACGCAGTGATCGGATAAGTATTGCGATGTAATGTAAATATACCTTACGCACCATTTCTTTCCAAACATCCTAAGCGTTGAACCACCGACAGGAACGGCTGTGCGTGGAGCTCCGATATCCCATACCGTGAATGTAATCTGTGAAGTCAATGGGAGGTCGCAGTACCGAATGGGTAACGTTATCCATTCGTTCCACCTGTATAGATAGTCAGCTCAATTGAAATAAATGATAATGTAATGCGTACGTATGGTTGTTCTTGAAAGCCTTGAAAGAAGTGCGGAAAGGTATGGTGAGCGGCTTGTTATCCGCCAGGAGCTGGCAGGAGACATAGAGATCTGAAACAGGCCTGGTGTTTGTGTCAACGTAGAGAAGTTAGTACATACTAGAGAACAGCGCACGAAGAATGTACACCGCGAAACCTTAGTTCCGGGTTCTCGAGTAGTTCCGATATAGACGGTTGTGGTATTGATCCTTCTAACTGAGAACTAGTACTGAGCGTGGGCAAGTAGCCCGCAAGATGAGCAATAGTACGTACATGCGGAAAGTAACAGGGAGCTTGAGGTCAGACAGCTTCGCAAAGGTAAAATCGTCTCGGTTGTCCTTGTCCATCATGTGAGAGAGACGAGCTACTACTAAATTTTTGAAGTACTGGCGTCTTACTGGATATTGAAGAGAATGGAGACGAGCTTACTTGAACCAAAAAGGGCATCTACCGTCCAGGGGTAATTTGGGACTGGGAAGTCACAACGTGAAACAGTCGAGCGAGCGGAGGTTCAAAATCAGTCGATTATTCTCTCTTGCCACCACCCAGCCTGAGTCAGGACTCATTCTGCCGGGAGCAGCTATCACACACTGTGGCCATGATCCACAATACGAACAAGGTTTTTCATCAAATGTGTCAAGCGAATACGACCAGTAGATGACTCGGGGCCTCGATCAAAGTTACCCAAGGTGCACGAAGTTCTGTTGCCTGTTTGACGAGAATGAGAGACCTGCGGCTGCTCTGGAGGAAGGCGATCAAATATGATTGACTGGAAAGGTGGATGAGGGCGTTTGGGCTAATGGGAGCGCATGTCTGGCGGGTACATGATCTAATTATCTTCGCTTTAGACTGACCGTTGAAGATATGCTACCCTAGACGTAGGCCATTGGTACCGTAGTTATACATTGCAAATCATTAATTCTATACGTGCTCTATGCATGCATGTTATGAATGGTATAGTCTGATTTGAAACGGTGATAATCCCTAAAGCTCAGTACAGTTTAAAAAGAGATGCAATGCAAATGGTCCATGTATAATACACAGTCCGACCTAAATTATAAGCGCTAACGAGGAGAGCGATTGTAAGCGTGTTGCGGGGTATGTATCCGCGTAAACGTCAACCAACCACAACACCATATACATAAATATCACCAGTCTAATCCACCACACGATACACTATCGGTACCCGGTATACGGCTCATAACTAGATTTCGTCGGAGCCGGCGCACCCGTACCTGACGCCAGCGACGCCCGCACAGCAGCATACGGATCCGCATACTGCATCGTCCTACTCACCTTCGGCGCCCCAGACCCAGACTCTGAGGTAGTGGGCGCATACGACGCCGACACGCCCCCGAACCCACTCGGTGCAGGGTCTGAAAATGCGCCATACGCGTCCATGCTAGGTCTCGAGGCAGCATAGTTCATGTTCGTACTTGTAGTAGGAGCGGTGGTAGTAGTGGGCGCTGTCGAATATGCAGATGTACGATTAGCACTCGAGTCTGCTGTTGAGAAACGGTTTGTGTTGGTTGGTTGGAGGTAGGTTGTGCTGTTGTTGGTGGGGGCACTTGAGAGGCGGTTGGAGTCTGCGAATGGAGATGCGGAGGCGTTGGAGTTGTCGTATGTTGATTGGTTGGGGTATGTGGGTGCTGTGTTGGTGGCGACGGGTTGGTATGAATGTCCGTCTTCTTCTACTTCTTCTACTACTTCTTCACCTTCTTCGATGTCTACGTCGGGACGCGTGAATGGGATGTCGCGGGGAGGGGATGTGAGGTTCCCGGAGCGCCAGTCGATGATAAGCAAGATAAAGGATGCAAGCCAGAAGCCTGGAGTGACAGTGTGGGATAAATAAATGCAGTAGAATGTGACACGGAAACGTACCAAACGCCAACCAAAAGAATATAGCGCCTGCTTTCTTCGTACTGCACCAGCCAGGGAGAGCACTCGTAAACGCGTCGCCAAGGCTCGCATGAGGATCGTTAGCCGCATTTTTGCACCCAGCCTCTGTCCACGCTGATATTGTGGTGACAAATCTGTACAGCCTAGAGTGAGGACGGAAATTAGGGGTAGTAAGATGAATACGCACGCGATGAGGAGGCTGAAGATGCAGCCACTGCCAACGAGGATGAAGCCGACGCGTACTTCTTTGAGGGTGCGGGCTATGCGAATTAGTTTGTTGTATTTTTCGTATACGACGGGTACGAAGAGGAGGAATAGGGCTAGGAATATTCCTGAGATGCTCACGAAGATCGCGAAGCCTGAGAGACCGGCTGTGGAGTTGAGTTGCATCAGTATGGTTGGAACTGTGGCAGTGATGAGCTTACAAGGCCCTATTCCCCACTTTGCTTGAAAACTGGCTACGCTTGCAAAGCAAGCCATTGCGAGGAAGTTGAAGAATATCTGGGAAATGTGAAATATGATAGCAGGCTTGCTTATAATCATCTAAAAGGCGGAAAAGGTGTCAGCATGATTGACAGAAGGGTTGTAAGTAAATGTCAATGACCGCAAGCCAAACGATCCATAAGAGGGGCAAGAAAAGGAGGAAGACCAAAGTTCCAGACTGATCCATGAAGAGGCATAGAGGAAGTTGGGTGTATTACGTAAATGGTTCAAGTCTCAGAAGAAGCGCATAGAGCGGCGAGTCACAAGGACAGGCTGGGTGGCAGATGCCCACTGGCTACAAAATAATAATAAGATACTCACGTCGTCCTCGTAGTTGACCATACCAAGCCCATTTCCTATCCCAACTGCTGGTGGTACTGTTCTAGTCTTCGACCTCCTTGGTAACATGCGGTCAAGACCATTTTGAAGGGTATCTATGAATGACATCTTGGGTGTAGGTTAGATGGTATAGCAAGTCAACAGCAAGTCAGTTAGGTATAGCGATGGATAACAATGGTATATCAATGCTCTGCTCGTCAACCGCAGTCGCAGTGATCGCAGTAGATGCTTGAGTTCGCTGTGACCTTCATCATCGCCTGCCCACGTGCTATTTGCTTACGTTAACACTGACACATGATCATAGTCGGTTCATCACCGACCACAACTTACTACTGACTACTGACTAGTCGACTACTGACAAGCATTTAGGACTACGAGTATGAACTGCACGGCAGTTCGAATCGTTTGTTGACTTTTGTTTCTCTACAGCATCTAAATCTAACATTAGTAAATAATCCGCCTGGCAGCGAACGCGAGGCAGGGCACGTGTTGGACAGCATATCAACCTGGCCTCGCGCCACAATGAGTCTCCCCACATCTTAGATACCCTTCCCCATCGCCTGGTGCGCATTTTATTATCCAAAACACAAATCATGTTTCCCTTGTCATCTCTTGACGAGCCATACCGCGCTTCTCTTAGAGACAATCGCGGTGTTCCCACTCTCCTCTCCCCTTGGGAGTACCTTGACGACTATGGAATCGTTCATCCTTCAGGATGCGACGTCTGCTCTTCGTATATGAAGCATGTCGCTGATGCAAGTTATTCCTCTCATCAGCCAGCTTTCCAAATCGCCTTCCAAGACAGAAAGCGCTCGCGCGAAGACGTCTTTAACAAGGGCATATCAGAAGGTACCCGCCGTCAAAAAGAGGAAAATAGAGTCCTCGTCGATGACATTGATCGTTATCGCTGTGAGCGTAATCAAGCTCGTGAAGAGTTATGCACTCTTCGTGCTCAACTAGACGCAACACGTGCAGAATCAGAGCGTCTACAGGACAAGCTCAGACAATATACTGCTCCACCAGTCGATGTCTCCAGTCCTATCGAATCCGTCTCCTATCATTCTTCTGTAAAGTCTCTCCAGCTAGACCCTCCTGCAGATCCACCATCTGAACTTCGCCCCGTCGATCCTCCCGTCGATCACCAGCTCTCCCTCGACTTTTTAGCTCCCTTATATCCTCAACAGTTGTCTCCCCCCATGACAACCCCTGCTTCCCCTCAGGCACAGTTGCCCGACTGCGTCGCAGCTCGCTCATTTGCTGCCGTATTGGCAACAGGTCAGCCAGATGACGACTCAGCTTTTCAAGCTACATCATCAGACGATACCCCTCCAACACTCAGTTGGACGGTCGTAGCCTCACCTGCTTATAAACCGACCAAACCTGCCAAGAACATCAAACAAGTCCAATCTCTCATTAAAGCCGCACACCAGCCCGGTAACTACAGCGCCCTTACAAAAGTCAAAGCCCTCTGCTCAGAAGCGCACAAAACACCCAGAGACCAAAAGACCGAAGTCCAACGCTACTTGTTATCCAACTGGCGGACTCCTGATTGGGAGCACCCTTCATCACTTCCAAAGCTACCTGCCCCCTTAAACAACCCTCGTCTCGAGGACCCCGTCGAGTCTTGGGTATCATACTACACCGCCAACCCCAGTTCCTGCCCAAAGGGCATCCGCCGCGAACCCGACGGCCGTCCCGTCCTCTCTGACATGAAAGCCAGCCGAACCGTAGCTCGCCTCCGCCCTCTAGTCAACCCGAGCGATCCTGAATCCCGTGAAGCCCGTCAAAAATACATGACAGTCGTCACAGAGCTCTTCTCCGAGCGCGGTGAATACTCCAGCACCCTTCGGAGAGGTGCATTTAGCGTCTCTCCCAACGTCTGTTATGTGCCGTTTGTGGGCGTGGCGGATGATATTGACAGGTTGTCTATTGCGCGTCATTTTGCGGCTTGTGGGGTGACTATTCCTGTCGCTGAGGATGAGCTTGGGCCGTGGGCGATGGAGTATCTTCGCGATTAGCGAGGAAGGCGGTCATACTTTACACGTACCAGGTATCTGCATACATATATCCCATTTTCGAGATCGTACGGTTCACATTTAATCGCGAACGTATATAATATGGTATTCAGATCGCGAGGGTCTTCCGAGTCGTACATAGTGTATTTCCGCTTAGTAGTCGCAACCCTTTGTTGTGTACCTCTTGTAGACTTGTACAGTGCTTTATATATCTAATCTACGTGACTCTTGTTTTGATCAATCCTTCCTCATAGTCCTGGGGTTCAAGCTTTCAATAAAGTTCAAGGATGAGGTTCACGCACGCGTAGTTTTCAGAGCAGATTTGCCGTTACATAAATAATTGTGGACGTAGTACGATATTCAGATCGCGAGGGTCGTATTTCCGCCTGTTACAGTAGTCGCAACGTTAACGCGTGCTTTATCTAATCTACCTTGGTCAATCCTGCCTCACACCAAACAATTGCCATGAAATGAGCCATCTCTACAAACATCTTCGAATCCACCAAGTATTCGGAGCGAACACAGACGTTGGAAAGACTATCATCACTACTGCACTCGTTCGGGCTTCGGCAATTAACAGGAACCGCGTTTTTTATCTTAAGCCGGTGAGCACTGGCGCACCGCAGGATGCGGATGATGAGTACGTGTTTTTCGTCGCGTAGAACGCGTCGCTGAATAATTTTCTTCATATGCTAGACATATTAAACGCCATGCGGGACCGCAAAAGCATCTAGTGGACGCTCATTGCTTGTTCCGCTATGGAGACCCCGTTAGCCCGCATCTTGCTGTTAAGATGGCTTCTGAGACTCCAGGTGGACTCAAAGTAGGTGTAGATGGTTATTAGTGTGGCTTGTGATGAGCTGATGTTGGAACTTGGGGCAACTTGAAGGTTTCTGTGCCTTCGGATGAAACGTTTGTTGGGTCTGTTGCGGAGCATATTAGAAAGCGAGCTAGGGTTGCGAGTGGGCCGGGCCATATGTATGTGGAGACTGCTGGAGGTGAGCACTACCTCAACGTGTTGCAATGCTTCCTGCTAACTGATTCGCTCAGGCGTCCACAGCCCAACGCTCTCCGGAACAACCCAACTAGACACCTACCGCCCCCTCTTTCTCCCCACCATACTAATCGGAGACTCCAGACTCGGTGGCATATCATCAACCATATCCTCATTCGAGTCGCTCCTCCTTCGTGGATACATCATAGACTCAATCCTCTTATTCCGGGATGAATACTACAGGAATTTCGAATACCTCACGCAGTATTTTGCAGAACGAGGGACGCATGTCACTGCGCTTGATCCTCCTCCCCCACGCCTCGACTCCGCAGAGAACGTCGCGAATACAGAGAAATATTACTCAGATCTCGTCCCAGACACCCTTAAAGGCGATATTTTCACTGCACTCGAACATCTGGACGAGTGTCACGCCAGACGCATCGAAGAACTAGACTCGATGCCTCGTCGTGCGCTCGATGCGATCTGGTGGCCATTCGTACAACACGGATTGGTCAAGACCGAGAAGGACGTTTCGGTCATCGACAGCGCGTGGTCGGATTTCTTTAGCATTTATGATGCTTCTTCCGAGCAAACTTCACCTTCGCAACCAAAATCGCTATTGCAACCCCAGCTGGATGGGTCTGCTTCGTGGTGGACGCAAGCTGTCGGACATGCTCATCCGACGCTGGCGCTTGCTGCTGCAAACGCGGCAGGACGTTATGGTCATGTTATGTTTCCGCAGGCAACTCATCTTCCTGCTCTCAAGCTTGCTGAACGCCTCCTTCAAGGACCGGGCAATGGCTGGGCTTCTCGTGTATTTTTCTCAGATAACGGATCTACCGGGATGGAGGTTGCGCTCAAAATGGCTTTACGATCGTTCATCGTCAGCTCTGGACTCAAGTTGAGTTCGGCGGAGAAGAAGAACTTGGGGGTTGTTGGACTGAGGGGGAGTTATCATGGAGATACGATCGGGGCTATGGATGCTTGCGAGGAAGGGGTTTATACTTGTGAATGGCATGAAGCGAAGGGTTATTGGTTTGAGCCACCGACTGTGTCTATTCGGCAGGGCCGAGTCGCTGTTTCCCTTCCACCTGCTCTGTCATCCCTCACCAGTGATCAGCGGACGGTCGAAGGATTTGAAACCCTCTCACATGTTTATGATGTCGAGCAGCGTCTCGAATCTCCGCTTGCAAAACACTACAGGCAATACCTAGACAAATACATGCGGGCCCTCCAGGCAGACGATACCCGAAAACTCGCAGCTCTAGTTCTTGAACCCATCGTCATGGGCGCAGGAGGAATGATATTCGTAGATCCATTATTCCAACGTATCATGGTTGACGTCGTCCGCGACCCCGCCCTATTCCCTACACCTCTCCGGTCATCTTCGATGAAGTCTTCGTGGGGCTATACCGCCTAGGATTCGAAAGCGCAGGTCCTCTCCTCGGCGTCAACCCTGACATCTCAGTGAACGCCAAGATTCTCACTGGTGGTGTGTTGCCTTTGGCAGTAACGCTCACGTCCGACCGTATCTTTTCGGCGTTCAAGAGTGAGAGCAAAGTGGATGCGTTATTGCATGGACATAGTTATACGGCGCATGCTGTTGGGTGTCAGGTTGCGAACGCGACACTTGATTTGGTTGACGGATTGGTGGAGAGTAATCTATGGGTGGGAGCGATTGGTAAATGGGCGCCTGAAGGAGCCTTGGCGACGAGAGTGTGGAGTTTCTGGGACCCGGAGTTCATCACTTCGATATCTTGTCTGGATGTTATCGATGAGGCGATGACGTTGGGAACCGTGCTTGCCATAAAGTTCAAGGATAATGATGCGGGTAATGTCGATCCTATTATATTTGGTTATTTACATTGCTCATGTGGCTTGGGGACGTAGGTTATGCATCGCATTCTGCTCAGACGCTGCTCCAGAGCTTGCGATTACCCCTGGATAATGGATCTGCATCCGCAGCCCCTGGAGGTGCACCTTTTGGGGTGCATTATAGGACGCTGGGGAACGTGGCGTATTTCATGAGTAGCTTGAATACTCCACGTGCGACTATCGAGGCGTTGGAGGATCGGTTGTGGAGGCTTGTGTCCGGTGTACGGCGTTCGTAGCTTCAGGTTGACACATCACTCTCCTCTAGGTGTAGTTGTTCTTTCCTGATTGATAGATATGTGGCATGTAATAGTAGGTGGTGATCTGATAGTCGATTGAAATATTCATGTACATACAAGCTTGAAGCAGTTATGGTGGCCCAGGCTTGGCACGTAGTACGTACACGGCTGCCAGCGTGTACGTGATATTTGGTTGTGACTCGGTGGGTTTCATTTGATCATAAAAGTTACAATACCTTTCCATCTTCTCTCCAGTCATAATGGCCTCCGTCGCGTCTCGCTCAGCCTCAGCCCTTCGCGCTGCTTCTCGCCGTGTATCTCGTTCCGGCGCAAAAATTGCAGCTAAGCCTGCACAAATCGCGTCCTACTCTTTGCTTGCTCGTCAGGCTTCGGCAGGTAGCTCGCATAAACCCACCCTGCAGGTGAATTTTTTTTACCTGATGACTGAATAAGCTTTGACGATCAAATATCACAGGCTGCTCGAGGCGTAAAGACGCTCAACTTTGCTGGCACTGAGGAGGTTGTGTACGAGCGGAGCGACTGGCCTCTCGCGAAGCTCCAGGACTACTTTAAGAATGATACCCTTGCTCTTATCGGTTATGGTTCTCAGGGCCACGGTCAAGGCTTGAATGCTCGCGACAACGGCCTCAATGTTATTGTTGGTGTCCGAAAAGACGGCGAGAGCTGGCGGCAGGCTATGGAGGATGGCTGGGTATGTTCAAATTGACTTGTCTGGCTTGCAGGCATCTGATGTAACATCGATGCATGTTTAGGTTCCTGGAGAAACGCTTTTCCCCATCGAAGAAGCCATCAACCGCGGCACGATCATCATGAACCTTCTCTCTGATGCTGCACAATCACAAACGTGGTCTACCGTTGCACCTCTGATCACCAAGGGCAAGACCCTTTACTTCTCGCACGGGTTCTCTGTTGTATACAAGGAGGACACAAAGGTTATACCCCCCAAAGACGTTGATGTTATCCTAGTCGCACCCAAAGGATCTGGTCGTACCGTACGCACCCTCTTCAAGGAGGGTCGTGGGATCAACTCTAGTGTAGCCGTCTTCCAGGACGTCACTGGTAAGGCCATGGAAAAGGCCGTTGCTATTGGTGTTGCTGTCGGTTCAGGGTACATGTATGAGACCACCTTCGAGAAGGAGGTTTACTCCGATCTCTATGGTGAACGTGGTGTGCTCATGGGTGCCATCCGTAAGTGTTCTCATACCGCAAGTTATTCTCAGCTGATGATTTATCGCGGCTAGAGGGTCTGTTCTGCGCGCAGTACAAGGTGCTTCGTGCCAACGGCCATTCACCTTCGGAAGCCTTCAATGAAACCGTCGAGGAGGCCACCCAATCCTTGTACCCCTTGATTGGACAAAAGGGGTAAGTGTGTATTTTTTCGTTGCGTATCCTGTCCCTCATGGTCCGTAGCATGGACTACATGTACAACGCCTGCTCCACAACCGCTCGCCGCGGTGCGCTCGATTGGGCACCCATCTTCGAGAAGACCAACACGCCTATCTTTGAGCAGTTGTACGAGAGCGTGCGGAATGGTACGGAGACTCGCAAGTCTCTCGAATTCAACGGCCGCTCCACATACCGCCAAGACCTTGCCAAAGAGCTGAAGGAGATCGACGACCAGGAGATTTGGCGTGCAGGCAAGGTTGTGAGGTCGCTGCGCCCCGATTACAAAGCTGAGTAAATGGGTTTATGGTTGGATCGGAGCTGTTTTAGCTCGGCTTGCTTACATTTGTATTTGTTACCAAAAGCGCCAAGGTGGTGCACGCCATGTCGGAGAGCACAATGTACAGACGTGATTAATGATTTTGAATACAAGGCGAGACACTGGCATTGGCAAGACTGGTGTGAGGTCCTCGTGTCAACTTTGTTGATTAGTTAGCAGATTTGCGGATCCGAAGTTCGATATTTATGAGTCTGAGATCGTGCCAAGTCACGGTACTCGGACACTAGGGGTTCGCGTTGCGAACTTCTGACCTTGCTCCGGTATGCAGGCAATTGGCCGGTGCTTTGGATTTCTGCAATTGCTACAGTTTTGAGTTTCTAGAATCTAGATCTAGGTTACTTGTTTTATCTCACGTGATTACACAGCATGATGTTCATATCAGGTGACTGGATCGTGCCAGTACTTAGACATGATTATTGAAGGTCTTGAGACCTGCATCCGATTATCACAATTGTACCAGATGTCGTTTACAGCTTCGAATATCATCCTCTGTTTTCATATTTATTAGGGTAAGCAGGTGACATGCTATTTTTACATTTATTCCAAATGCAAGCTAGGCTCGCGACCAGCCCGACTTCATAATTTGAAAGCTTCCTGTGGTTATAAGGCCGACGCCCGCACGACGCCCAGGTCTTCGTCTCTTTCGCTTCTGTTTGTAGTCGAGGGATGGTGTTGTATTCACCGCACATCAATCATGGATTGTGAATCAATCATCAGGTTGATGATTGATACATCCACATCCGATCAACCGCACGCTGCGACTTGAAATTGAATGCGACCCCGCGGATGTGTCTTGTATTAGATTCCGCACTTGTCATTTATTGGCATCTTTATGATATGATAGGCTGATGACCGAGATGGAGGGCTAGAAGGTGTGCATATGCTTAGGGATGGGATTTGTTGAAAGGGTTTCACAGGCGAGTGATCTGTCTGCTTCTCGCTCCCCTACACTATATTTAACGTCTCTGTCATGTCAACATAAGCTTCCCTTGTTGAATACCTGTAATGCTCGGAGAGACTGCTGGTGAGCCCATCCAGAAAGCAAGCTTTTCAAAGGGTCGCATCACGCTTAAGTCTTTGTTAGACCAAGTTTTGCATTTGAATAAGTGTCTAGGGGTGCGCATCGGCAGCTGTATGGTGCGAGTGAGTTTCTCTCCTAACTCGTTCTTTTCTGATGACGCGCCAACAGAATGTTACTGCCTTCGGTCTTTCTTCTACAATTAAGAGTCCCAGGGAGTCCCAGGATATGGACGTTGCTGAGGCTTGTTGATCAAGTTTTACGAAATCAGCCTGTACAATTGGAAAAGTCAGGCTTCATGCGGTCATAACAACGCGTCTGAGTCTTCTTTTCTCCATGTCCTCTCCCAGCACTGTTTGGATCTAAGGATGGCATTGCATTTTCACCATATACCAATCAGGGATTCTCAACTAGGACGTCTCTTGTTGTGAAAACTGATGTCCTGTCACCACCGTACCAACTCCATGATGCAGATCAAAGATCCTACACTCATAATCATTGGCAAGCTTATGATACGAAAGCCCGATAACCGAAGCAAAGAGCGAGAAGGTGTTCATGAAGTGACAGACCACCCGAGGACAAGGTGCAGGAATAATAGACATTAAGATGTGTGCTCGCACACGGGTAGAATGTGGGTTATCTGTCTGCTTCGTGTGTGGGTCTCCCCTATTTGACGATTTATTTTTGTTCTGGTCTTGGCATGTTGATTTTCCTTCTATCTTCTACGGTGTTCAAGCCTCCACCCGTGCAAATATTTCACGACCAACTTGAACGTTAGCGCCTGGATCGACTTCAATCAAGGCAGCAACGGACATCATCCCTCGATCTCCTTTTGGTGATCCAAGCACTGGATGGTGGTATATATTCCATCGCCATACGTCTACCAAACTCACCCCTCGCCCCCCACCCCTCACCCACACCCCCGTTCTCTACCAATATGGCCATAGTCTCAAACGATCCCACTTGGTGGCCCACCATCAATATTTATCGTGTTTACAGCTATTTTGTAGGTTCGTGAAGAGCAGTCGGATATTGATGCTGCCGTTGTCTCAATTCAACCTCGACTCGGTTTCGCAGTTGCCTCCTTTGTTGTAGCGGTGCATGATTGGGGTGAGCATGATAAGATTAAAGAACTGCTGAACACCTACAAACATTTCTAGCACTCACATTCGGACAAGAAGTATGTTGATTCTATGACTGGTGCAGCCATCTCGCTAAGAATGGTTTTATAGGTAGAATTGGTCTGGGTGAGTAGAGTCTGATGTCAGAGGAACAACCATGAAAATACACTTAATTTCAGAGGCAACGCTGGTCTCTAATGACAACTCTGTATCTCAGTGTATGTAGCTTGTTTGTCTCAGTTATCATGTTGTGCTGATTTGAAAGCACCCTAGGTACGCTACCTTGGACCCTTATATGTTGCGTATGTTTGGAATACTAAACAATTGATGTTGGGCTAATCGTCTATCTCTCATGATCAGCATGGACATACTGGGTATGTCTCCTTCGTACATTCGCTGTCTTTACTTCTTCTGACCAACGACATACAGGCAGTGTTCCGACCATCTCGCTGACAGATACAGTGAGTCTTCTGCACAGATTCCTGCTATTCCATCTCCAATTAACCGCGGTATTTTGTAGGGGTGGGTGTGGTTCTTTACTGATTTCTTGGTTCACTAATGACTGTCACACTACACTACCACAGATGTGAGTCTGTTTGGAGTGTGTGCTACCCGAGGTCGGCCACTAACTAGATTCGTCAGGCTGGATTACGGACGTTGTATGGAACTGGATGCGTGTTTTGGCATTTGTAATGCTTTGGGGTGAGCTTGGCACTTGGGAAACCTCAATGATATTGACTTGACTGAAACATGCCACAAGTTATCCTGATCACTCGGCTACATGCCATGTATCAACGATCCAGGAAGATCTTGATATTTCTCATTGTCACCTCCCTGGCTGACAACATTTTCAACGGTGTAGTTGCCGTAATGATAACGATGCATACTTCAGCGGGTACGCTTAATTGTGGACGTCAAAAAATATGCCTCTCATTGACGAATACCAGAGGAACTAATTCTCTCCGGCACTTATCAGTGCTCGATTGACTATGCGAAAGATGTCGTACTTCCGGGTTCCATTACTTGGATACTCGGCACCGCGTGGGAGGTCCTCGCACTGTGTCTCGCAATCTGGATTGCTGTAAAACACTTCCGTGAGCTGCGACGACATTCGGCAGGAGGGATCATTGGGGACTGTTTCACAGTGTTGATGAAAACTCACGTGGCTTACTTTGCGAGGTGAGCTCATACTGTGAGTATAGTTCCCTTTGTTTCACTGAAGGGTCGGACGTGGTAGCTTTGTTGCTGTTTCTTGCTTCCAGCTCATTCTTAATTTCTCTCCAACATTCTCAATGGTATGTCAATCTTTCACCTACCTCTGCATGCGACCACGGTTCATCATTTCCATAGGAGCAATCTTCCCTAGAAATGCAGACTTGTAATGGCTTACTTCAGATTTTGGAGGTCGTGCAGATGTTTGTGCTAGGACCCCGCCTGATCCTTAGTGTTCGAGAATATCATGCTAAGCTCGTGGCCGATTCCGACGCAGCAACCGGCATGACCTCGATTGCTTTCCAAGAGCGTGTGCATATATCGACTGGCAGTAGTGTGTAATGCTCGGTGAAGTTGTCTAGCGCTCTGCAAGGAGCAGGGGAATTTGCTTTTATTTATTCCCACTTTCGTGATGGTATTGATCTAATTATATAAGTTATTTGGCGTTTTGAAGTAGATTTCAAGGACATCGGTCTAGGCAACGTTTTCGTCGTAGTATTTAGTCAAGTGATCTGCTGTACGTGCTGACAATATTTAAATCAATATCCTGGATATTTCTACTGGCACTAGCTACCCACCCACCACTTGCACCAACCAATGGTCCTTTTCTCTGTGTGATGACATGGCCTATAGAAGATTCACTCGAGATGATTATAAAGTGTGCGAGATATGTTTGTGCATGTATAACTTGATGATGCGAGGCGCACTTAATGAGTTTTGACGAGGTCGTGGTAAGTTAATGCTTGTAAAGGAGCTTGCCTTTCACTTTTGTTCGACGAGGCAGAAACACGGATACGGATGAGTGCGTTTGGGATTTTTACTGAAGCACTATCGGGGGATACATATACCCTATTAAGCATTCGGGTCATTATGATATGAAGGCCATGAGTAAGCTTGGATGAAAAA